CGTTAGGTACTTTCAGAATTAGAAATGTATAGCAGACCGGGCGTACTTTATTTCTCCTTAAAGACAGTAATGAAAAGATTTTGGATTTAATCAACTTATTTTTTTATTTTTCAGTCGGATGAAAAGTCTCCTATGTTCATTCCCTTGTTCTAAGCTATCTCTTCACCAATGTTCAGCCAAACCGGAACAGATTGTATAAAATTATAATCAACCACATCGATCAATCAACGATTGCAGTCTAAATGACTAAACCATAAACATAATTTTTTAAATCATTTTCTAAATATCATGTATTAACGGATAAAGTTTTAAAGGACAAAGTAAGTTATTTCATTCTATATATGACTCCTAGTGTGTTATGTATTTTCCATATTATACAAACAAAACCTCAATACTTGTGACAATCTATGCTTGTCGCCTATTTACTGTCTCAATTCTACTTCTTAAGAATTGACCAAAATAACAAAAATCTTTATATTGCTTACGGGAAATGAAAATTATTTAATCTTGAAATCAATTCTTTGAAGATATGATATGTCTTGCCATGACTTTATATTATAAATAAAATATTAATTATGACACAAAAAAATAAATTATAGAGTTTGCTATGTCAAATACCTATACCTAAAAAGATATAAAATATGAAAGTAGAATTTATTATAGTTTATACCTTTATAATTCAAACCATTGATTTATTTTTGACTTATAGAGTTATCAGTTACACATTGATGACTTACAGAGTGATTCTATAGTCGCTATGTAATCTGTTGTCCAGAATAATAATATTATATTTAATCTGTGAATCTCATGTAGCTATTTAATAAACAATCAATGATCAAAAGAAGTGAGTTATTAACTTCTGAAGTAAAAACATAACTACATATTGTGTAAATGTAATTACAATTTCACCACTTTATTATAAGAAAGTTGGCTAACCAGTCAACAGCCTGACAGAAAATAAACTTTTATTTACTTATAATAAGTACACTAACAACATACATATCGAAAACTTACAGTTAAGGAAGGTGACTATATTATAACATCAGATATGTACGTCAATGATAATTGTACATAACATTTACCGAATACAAACAGTGCACAATTAAAAAAGTTTACACACTAGTTTAAATATAAAACAAAAACACTACGTAAAAATAACAAAATAAATTAAAAAAAATATATTATATAAACTTAGGAAAACTTTGAGTTAGAAGAAAAATAATAATCAATAATTTTTTGTTTAAATACATAAAATGAATCGCTAAATAGGTCTAGACTTGGTAATTTTGCAATAAATATATTCCATTCTTTCAGAGTGATGGCTTATTTAAAAAAGAAACCGAATATTCCCCTTATTTCTTTTAATTGAACTCCCTTGAAATTGAAATATAGGGGTTACATAAAAGAAACTCTAGAAATTACCTCAAACAATATCGCAGCGTTTGGGGGAGACACCCTAATGTCATATATGTCCTTTTCGTTGCCAAATTTGGCAATGAAATATCATGATAAGGATCACTCTCTGGATGTTGTCTGAAAAATAAATCAATACAGGTTGAAAATGGTACATATTAAAACTAAATTAACATTTAATAAAACAAGGAGAAAAGGGAACTGTATGATATTTATAAATACCAATGGAATATATAAATCAAATCATGAGAAATGAAATACTAAATTGATTTTTAAAATCATAGAGAGCTAACCTATTATGATTTTCTAATAAATTTTTTGTCTATCGTCCACAAAAAGGATAGTTTAAAATATTATTAAAATGATTATACAAGAACTTCTTATACAATTCTGATATAATGATAAAATATTGTTGATACTATGAGAAAGATAAGATGGGGATGAAATTTTCTGCTTTTATTGATAATAAATATAATTTGTATACTTAAGTAGCTTGAATTGATACAAACTGGTATTTGGAAAATTCAACCCCACTTTTACTACAATACTTCATAGTTATTATTGTTAAACTAGTTGTCCCCTAAACTCAAATCACTTGGATTTCTTAAAATAACCAGTATACAATTACATATTCATGTTTAATATAATAGTTGGGTTAAGGGTGAGTCTAAACAAGATTAATTCAAGTCTTAATAAATATGATTACAAATGAGAGGAAAACATATATAATAATATCTTTTTTTTATTTAGTTCTGTCTTGATTTGAATAAAGTTGTATTGATAGGTATGTTAATGTTCTATAGATAATTCTTTTATATGTTGGTACAGCATTCAAAACCTAATATTATTTTAAATACATATACATATGTATAGGAAGACATAATAAAACTAAATTAGGGTTCGAAACTTTTATTTAGACACACACACAACACTACAAACACAAATTAGCTTAAATAAGGGCTTACAACCACTCTGCATTACAGGGGTTTCAAAATGAACTGTTATATGAAGGAAATAAATAATATCACAATAAATTAAAGCTTAAACTCAATATAAGAAAAAAAGCAGTCTTTAAACTTGAGCTAGAAAAAGATATTATCATTTCTAATGATTTAGTTTTCGCCATTTGCTTCGGCTTGTGAGGTTTGATCCTTGATCTCCTTCCTCACGGGTCCGGTCTGCGCGATGGGAACACTTCGTTCATTCTTCGACACTGATGCCACTTTCGGAGCAATAACACTCAACACTCCATCTGAAGACAGCCGTGACTCTACTGTGTCTGGATTACAACCTTCCGGGAGTGCGTATCGTCTAGTGAACTGACGGGATATAAAGCCGTGTTCGTCTTTCTTTTCTTCGTGTTTTCCTTCCACGACTATGTAACCGTCTGCAGTCTTCACAGTTATTTCCTCAGGTTTGAAATGCTGCACGTCCAAGTTGACTTGGAATTTATCTTTGTCCGACTTGATGGTGGATCCGACGTCCCTCGCAGCAGCCGCCATCTGACGCCAGGGTCTGTAGTAGTCTCGTGATGAAAGTGGGGAAACGGCAACGGTTAAAAGATCATCTGGAGTTAAAGCCAAGCCGAAGTCCTGATCAAAGAGTCGGTGAGGCTGATCGTAGCCGAGGATGAAAGGTAGCAACGACATTTTTCTTCTTAATTCACGTCTTCGTGGAGGCACACTTGTAGAGTAGCAGTGCTTTAGCACTGAAATCGTCTTCGAACTGTTTACTTGTTACGAATGCCGGATTACCGGGACGCGTCGCTTTTATATCATCATCCAAGCCATCTGTCGGCGAGTAGAGACAACGAGAGCTCTCAAATACGCATGCCCAGTAGGATAATCGAAATATCTACAGGGTTCTAGAATTTCTAGACTTATCGACCATCTGTTATTTCAAAGGAACAATCTCGAATAGATATTGAATAGTAAACAATATTAAATTTATGTATAGAGATACACACCAAGAAGTTTTTAAAGGCTTTCATTTCAAATTCAATAATTTCAAACATTTTAAATATTGTAGTTTTTTTTTAATAAACGAAAATGTAATAATAATATTATTAAAAACACCTATGCAATAGAAATCCATTCCAATACATACAAATTTAAAATAAGCAACGAGTATATTCTCTAAATACTAGACACGTAAATATCTTGCTATTACCAAATACATAATATTTAAAGCTTTCGAGTAATTAATTGATATTTTTTCAAATAGAAGATATTGTTGTTGATTTTTTTCGATACAGTATAAAGGAATATAATGTGACAGTAGCCTTATTTACTGAACTAAATCTGAAATACAAAAATTTCAATAATTCAAATTCAAAGAATTCGAAGACAATCCTTTATTATTATTTTCAAACCGTCTGTTGACTGTTTACAAAAGTTTTATTGATCGCAGCCTCCGGTAACTACAAACGAATAAAGAACAAATTTATTTATTTCATACATGTACCTATATGTAACTGTTATTATACATTGGTGAAATATTATACAAGGAGACATGTGGTTGACAGCTGATATAAAATTCTTTGTATGAAGTAATTAATTATTATTATTGATAGTCATAAGTTACTTTGCGTATAGATTTATATTTAAATACATATATATTTTTACATTTAAACTATATAGAAAGAAAGCTACATAATTCCCTTATCATTAAAAACATACAAACAACAATATACAAATAGAAATGTAATCTAATCTTATCAATTAAACTTTTTTTCTAGGAGTAATTTATTTGATTAGGTATACGATATTTAGCAATAAACCGGTGAAAAATTAATCTACGAATCTCAATTTCATTGCCCGTAATCATCATTTAATATTAATTATAATAAAATTTATTCAACTAATAAATATATGAAGGTCTGAAATTAAAAAATACCCAATAATATATATCGGTACATCTCTTTCATATACTCATTAATAAGAATTTAGAACTAAATAAAGGCAATAATTAAATGGATGGCGATTGAAACAACACTTCTTACACTAATTGCTATTAAAATAAAAAAAATCTCAAGTTATATCTATTGCAATAAAACTGCGAAGACTGCTAAGTGAATTCATTAAAATTCCAATAAACAGACTACTATTACTTCTTAACAACATTTTTTATCAATATTCATAACACACATACACACAACACCCACAAAAATGTATATGTATGATAAAAGCATATACTTACGTACATTTACAATTTCATCTATATACTTGACCTAGGTCAGTGACACGAGAAATGTCAAATGTTATCCAGTCCCCGCTAGATGACACTATTATCAATTTGTTTATATAAGTTCAATTGTAATTCTCCAATATATAATCATATATTGCATAAAAATACCTGATATTTTGTTTCTATCTGATAGTTGAAAGTTCTCGAAACATTCACATTACGTGGTATTATTGAATTCGTTCTAAAGGCCACGTCAGATTTTCGGGAAGATTCTATTTGTTACTAGATGGCAGGCAGTAGTATAAAAGGTGCGCTCAAAGCGAACATTGCAATTTGACTGTAGCGTTTATCGTGACGACTTCTCTGAGTTATAATTTGAGTGGTATCAATTTCAATACACTATGAATAAGCTAGTTTATTTACTTTTCGTCGCTGGTATTCTAACTGGTGTATTCTGTGACGAAGAATGTTCAAGAAAGCGAAGGAACAGTTTACTCGATCAGGATTTCGGTATGTCATTGACGGACGACGATTTAATCACCACGATGATGGCTCCTTTGATGTTAAGAAACTACTTCAGACCCTGGCGCTACCTTGAACCACTGGCAAGGGATATTGGTTCTACTATCAAGACGGATAAGGATAAATTTACAATCAACGTCGATGTTCAACATTTCGCACCAGATGAAATATCTGTAAGAACTGCGGATGGTTATGTTGTAGTTGAAGCAAAACATGAAGAGAAACAGGACGAGCACGGCTTTGTTTCTCGTCAGTTCATGAGAAGATACTCATTGCCAGAAGGTGTCGAGTCTGAAGATGTTTTATCGGAGCTCTCGAGTGACGGCATCTTGACAATATCGGCTCCGAGGAAAGATGTTGACAAAAAAGGAGAAAGAATCGTTACAATAACAAAGACGGGACCCGTTCGGAAACAAGCAAAGGAAGCGACGAAAGAGGAAAGTTGCTCTGCTGATACTTGTGAAAAACCTAAACAATAATTATATTGTTCCTTTTTATTTTAAGTTTCATAAGACTGAATAAACTAATTTAAATATAAATTGTCTGCATTTTCTTTTAAATTATAATTTTAAATTTATTATTTACTCATCTTTTATTGATTAAATTATAACTGTACATGAGATATATGATGTTTATATAAAAAATAAAAGTCAATTTGTTTTTAATCCATCATTACTTACACAAATATTTAATGAAGCCGCTATTAGAGATATTACTTTTTATTTAATATTTTGATAACTTTGTACATCTCTATAATAAGATTACTGCCTTATGTATATTTGTGATGAATTAAATAAGTATGTCTTAAAGAAGAGAAGAGAAAAAAGTGCTTAAAAATACAAAAAATAATTATTAATTCCAGATAAATTTACAATATTAATGCTTCGGTACATTTAAAAAGATAAATATTACTTCTTAATATTAATTAAATATATGGATGCTATGGAGATAATGTTGACGCATACTTGTAATTATAAAATATACCTATAAATATTTGGCCGTAAAAAAATATAATCAGTATTATATTTAGCTTTTATCAAGTAGATAGACAAAAAAAAATAATTTTCATAAACCTTCGTTGTCCGCGTGGTTTCTTCAATGTACCAGCATAAAACTAACAAAACTAGAGTGGGTCGTTTATATATTTTATAGACAGTTTATGCGACATAAATTATTACACTACTTCATATTAAAGGGTAAATTATTCTCTGATATAATTAAGATATAATTTTATTATATAATATTATATTTTTCCTTTTTAAGAGGTGTTGGTATCAGATCTATATCTCTTTTATGATTATTTGTATACTGAGCCATTCACTCTGGAATCTGCCGAAACAGCTTAAAAATTAAAATGTAGTTAATAAGTACATACATTTGACAGTTGACATTGACAAAGTTACAATAAACAAATTGATAAACAAATACACAAATACTAAATATCATTTTCTGTGGTTAAGAGTTTAAATAAGAGCAGACATGGTTAATTATTGCTGTGTACTTGGATGTGGCAGAAATAGTAGAACAAATAAACGATTAAACTTTTATACGTTACCAAAAACAGAAAGACGGTATTAGTTGTCACTTTAGTATGTCTAATAATTAATATATATGTAACAGTTTATTATAATTTAATTTGATTTTCAGTCAAATAAAATGGCTAAAATTAGCCGGGAGAGAAGAATGGTTAAATCAAGATATGGAAAAACTTCGTCGTAAACTAAGATTTTGCTCCCGCCATTTCTTACCAAATCACATTAAAATTAAGCATTTAAGTGAAGATGCTCTGCCCATCAAGAGTATACCAGGGTCACATAGCGCTGGTGAATTTAATAATATAGTATCCTATTCTTTCCTTTATTTCTTTAATATATATCAACAATTTTCAACTGCTTTTAGATGAGTCCGATGGAGAAACAGTAAAACACGAAGGCATAGTGTGTGATAGCTGCAACGATCAAATCATTGGCTTCAGATATAAGTGTGTTTCTTGTGAAAATTATGATCTTTGCCCAAAATGTGAAGCCCTTGAGACACACCCACATCACTATATGCTAAGAATACCGAGACCAATAAAATTTGTAAGTAAATTAAGCATCTAATAAATTATATTTGATTGTCTTCATCAATTATATTTTCTTAAATTACACAAAATAGTTATGAAAATATAAAGTCTCAAAAAGTAGCATTTTTTATTATATATATTTGATTTCTTAACACTTACAATAAAAAAAATTCATTCTAGAAACAAGCTGAGAACTTACAAAAGAAATGGTCTAATTTATTTGAATTTGAAAATGTCAGCACAAAACGAAATAACGATAGCGATGTGTCCAGCGATGATGAACCAGTTACAAAATATATGAAAAGTAATGACAGTGGAATAGATCTCTCCGAGGATGACAGAAATATGATACAAAGAGAAGTACTGAGAGCCGTTCAAGCAGCTAAAGAAAAGAATTGGGATCAGCTACAGAATAAATTATTAACTTTAGAATCTAACAAACCTTCAAATACCGAGTTGTTTACTGTACCTGAGAGTACACCAGAATTAGCGTTCGCTGATGTCAATGATTACAGAGAAGTAGGGGAAGTAAAAAATGAAGTGGCCCCTACTACTGATATACAACCAGTTACAGGTATAAAAACTTTTTTGTATCTAATAATTCTAATTCAAATCATGCAATTTGTTATTCTCATTTAAGAAACGAGATTATCTGTTTTACATCACGTAAATATAAAGTCTATTTTTGATTTATTTTATATATATTTGTTTTATTTTCAGATCAATTGCAACCTATGTATTATATGAAATTGAGTGGAGACCTGTCCCAACTTATGATAGAATTAACACATAATAATACTACATAAGGAATAAATATATTTAAGAAAAAGATATGGTTTACTTTTCCCTTATAAAATTAAAATATGTATTTTGATATTGTTATTTCACAATTATTTGATTAAATTATTGAGATTGATTTATGAATATTCCCGAAATATTTAATTTTTTACACTTTACTATAATCACTTCAAACTTAGTCAATACATGTCAATTCACAGTTTTTTTTATTAAAACGCCAAAACATTTTCGTCTTTTTAGTCAATAAATTATTAAGCATATTCATATAATATAGTCAGTGGTGGCCTAGTGGTTAAAAGGTCCGCCTCTCATGCACGAGGGCACGGGTTTGATCCTGGTCCTGGCAAGTACCAAAGTGGTTTTTCTGATTCATATGTACTTTCTAAGAGTATTTAGACACCACTTATTAATGCATTCCCAAAGAAGGTTTATGTCAGGCAGGCGGCCGGACGTAAAAACAATTAGCAGAATCTATTCACAACATGTAAGGCAGACCCTAGCTAAAGCTGGGAAATTGCCAAGTAGAAGAGAAATTTTTAGCATTTTTTATACAATTAAAAAACTTTTTGATTGATGTATCAATAGACTTTATTATCTGTATTTAAATTATTTTATCCAAATACCGTTAACATTGTATACGCTATGAAGTAAAATGTCAGATATTGTATTTTGACATTAATGCAACGAACTAACAATTTAGTTGTAAAATGTAGACAACTACTTTAATTACTTATATCTGATATATTATTTAGTATTTTAATGTGATAGGAACTTCACAGAAAAACATTACTTTTAAGTTTAACAATAGCGCTTAAGCTTAATAATGTATAGAATAATAATTTAAGGTTACTTTGAGCGTAAGAATAATAGTAGAAATGGATTCCCGTAAGAGCCTCGATCCTAATGTAGCGGGCACAGGGTCTACAGGCAATGATATTCCTCTTGTAAGTTATTAAAACCTTTATTTATTAAATGAATAAAGACACATTATTTCCGCTTGAAATACAAATGTTGTATACAATATTTATTTGTATTTTTTTTATATAAAGCCGGAAGATACAGCAAATCCTACATTATCTAAACCGATTCCAAAGATGCAGCCATCTACTAAGGGTGTCGAAAATGCAAAGAAGAGGCTGAGGGCATTCTCAATACAGAAGAAAACTCCAATCACTCCTCTTTTGGTCCCTAAAGCTACTGGAAGTGGTAGTATGTTATATATTAGTTATATTTGGTTTATGCTTGTTCTTTTTCTTTTACAATTTTATTTTTATTGTTTTTAAGACCGTTAACAATAACATGTCTTTTATAACATAGATTGATTTTTACATATTGTTTTGCATTTTATTAGTGTTGTGATAATATAAGTTTTTTGATAATTGCAAACTTGTGTGTATTTATTTACAGGTATTACTGTGTTTAATATCATATCATTATTATTCATGAAAATACACATATTTTTGAACTTTTTCAGGTTTATACTAAATCATGGGGCTACACTTAGGTATATTCATATTTATTTTGCAGATACAACGGTATTAATCGGGAAATTAAGTGGTGTCAAAGCTATACCGAAACCTGAACCGGACCCAGAACAAAAGAAATTACCAAAACCTCCTAAACCTGGAACAACTAGAAAATCATTTCAAGGTATGATAATGAATAATAATCAGACAATATCTGAATAACAGTGCAACGAAGTTGCAGTAGTACTAATTACTGTTGAGTAATTGAAAAATATGTTGAACATATAGTTCTTTACTTCTAGATTCATACACTGATTTACAAAAGAGAACATTAGCTGAAATAGAAGACATGAAACGTAAAATGGAATTAGTTGATCTGGGAATCCCTCTTGGTTTGATCTGTCCTTCGTCAACCAGTGAAAAGGCTATGCCGACTAAAGCTATGCCACCAATAAAATCATTTTTAGGTAAGTAATACTTGCTTAAACTTTAAATTTAATGTATAAATTATGTTTATTAAGTTTTTTCCTACAATATGTTATGATAATGCATGTAGCCCGTCATTTTCGAGTGTGTAATTCAAGTCATGCAAGCATGGTCAAGCAATTCAAGAGAAAAATGTCTAGTAAGTTAATGTTCATGTGGAATTCATCTTATATATGTAGATATTATAGATATTCATAGGTATTATATTTTTTGATGATGAAATCCAAGTTTTATTTATAAGGTAAATATTTAGTGTAATAGGTGTAGTTTCTTTTATTAAATATGAAATGTACAGTTAGAAATATAGAAACATAGATATGTAAGTAGGTATAGTTTGTTTTTATAACTTATACTTATTATTCTTGAAGTTTGTGGTTATGAATGTATTCTATGATGAATTATTTTGTATTTTTCTGTTCCATAGAAAATTTTGAAAATGTACTCGATGGCATACGGAATATGAAAAATTGTTATTGTGTAGTCCTTAATAGTTGTTATAGAGTATTTAATTTAGATAAATATTTTGTAAAGGTGCTGTGATTTGGATATTTATATATAAAAACTAGTTATTTATTATTTAATATATAATAAATCTATATATATAGTAATAGTAATGGTAATTAGTTTTAAGTACATATGTTACAGAGTTTATAATATATGCAGTTTTATTGGTGTTTAATTTTTTTTCCTAATTTTTAGACCCATCCAAAGTCGACGAATTAATCCGCGAAGCAAAAAAAGCTAGGCAAGAAGGCAAGGAATTTAAATTTGATTATCAAAAACTATTGCCTGATTATGACAATCCGTTCCAAAGGAAAAAAGACGAATCTTCTCACGATAAGGATAGAAAGTCTGACAGACGTAAGAGTGATAATGACAAAGACAGACGAAAAAGTGATAAATATGAATCTAGAAGGAGCGAGTATAGGAAAGATGATAAATATAGGGAGAGAAGTGAAAAGTCCCGCGATAAAACAAGAAAAGTAGAAGAAAAGTTACAACTAAGCAAAACAGACAAAGGGAAAGAAACTGATGTAAATCTTAATGATTATTTAGTATGCGACAGTTGGTCCATAGATAATGAAGATAAAAATAATTCGTCAAGCCCCAAAACCCACGAGAAAACAGTAGTAGCAAAAGTTACTGAACCAACCGAACAATTAAAAGCCAGTGTTGCTAAACAGAAGGACATACTTAAGTCCATTTCTCTAGAGAGTCCAAGACCGACGAAAATTGAAAAACTGCAACCCGTGATGGACACTTTTAAATATGAAATAGATCCAACCGATGACGATATTATAGATATATTTGACAAAGATTCCGGTATAGAAAAATACGCGCAACAGACTAAAGTGAAGAAACTAACGTTATACGACTCACCAGACAAGTTTGATGAAAATCTATCTAAAGATGCTGATGAAAATATTGATGACACCTTCTTGGAGTCAGTTTTGAACGAACTTAAACAGGAAGGTTTGAACGAAGATGAGAGTCAGGACAAGGGTTTGGTGGAGTATGAAATGTCACCGAAAGATAATTCTAAGAAGAAACAAGAAGGGTCAGTGACCCCAGAATTAATTGAGAAACGGGATGCAAGTCAAACGAGCGATTATTCTGATGATTTCAGATCGGAGTGCTTCAAAACTCCTGACACAAGTGAAAGTGGATATAAATCTGATGGTTTTAGATTGTCCATAGAGAAAGAATTGGATGATGCTTTGGAAGCTAAAATGTCGCGATCTACCGTAGACTCCCTTGAAACTTGGAACTTCGTACTACGAATATGTCAGCCGCTCCTATTTCGCCATGACAAAAATAAATGCTACAAGTAAGTTCAATTTAAGCATACTTTCTAAATTGCAAAATTTATTGTTTTTAAGAATATCAAACTTGAAAAAAACATCCACCATTTCGACAATTATACTACATTTAATTTACGAATGTGTCCATCAAAATTTTTCACAAATATACAAATTTATTTACAAAATTTTATTTTGATATATTAATATATTTTTTATGTTTCAAGGGAAACTAGAGCCGCCCCCAAAATTTGGTACACAGTAAATCCCCGTTCCTGCGCTTGTGTTAAAGACAGGAAAATAGTTTACGAAGAACTCGAGAGATGTAAAACGAAACTCGTCGACAGAGTGTATGGATGTGACCAGTATGTTGTTATTTTTTCATTCTTCATATAATATAGCTTTGTATGATAAAATTACTGACTATTCGTGCTATTGCTATTGAAATAAAGATGAAAAACAATCATACAGACATTTTAATAGCGTTTGTTATATGCACACCTACTTATCTTGCAATGAGAGATTACATAATGAAATATAAGACTCGCGAGTATTTGTTTAAATGAAACTAAATTTTTTTGGATTATGCTAATCGTATTTTATTATTTTAAAACTACATACTCCCGACGTTTTATTATTTTAAAATTACATACATCCGAAAAATATTAGTTTTGTTTAAATGAGAGATTACATTTCATATTTACATAACAATAAAACATTTACATCATTTATAAATAAGATGTAACAATAATTAAAATATCAAATCATATAGGTATCGTCAGGGATAGTGAAAATCCGCGTAACTAACTGGATAATTCCGCGTATCTACATTGGAAGTAGATTAACAAAAAATTTTGTGCTGAAATATTTTCTATACCAACGACTTTTAAAGCAATTTTATCACAATTATTAATTATTTTGTATTCAATTTATTACTAATTGTGAAAAAGTTGTTAATATAGAAAATATTTCAACTCAAACCTTCTCATAACCTACTTCCAATGTAGATACGTGGAATTATCCAGTTAGTTTCGCGGATTTGCACTATCTTCGACGATATTCAAAACCTTATGGAGACCGCTGAAAATCAGTTTAGAAGCATCATTGATGCTTCGTCTTCAACTGAGCGAATCTCCTTTTGGTATTGTTGCACTGCAGCACATTTCTTTTTTCCTTTTTCTTATTATAATATTTTTTGTATATTTATTTATTGTAACGTTATTTAATGTTTTTATTTGTGAATAAGATTGTTATTGTGCTGTAGTGCGACTTTGACCAATAAATATTTTTTATTTATTATTATTATTATTAAAACTATATAGAGTACTAATAGAAAATCCCTAATTCCAAGGATTCCAGAGTCCCGTTTCCCTCAAGCCCGTACTTGGTACCCGTCCCAGGGTTTGATCCCTGAAGCCAGTCCTCTCCCTCTGTCCAACGAGTGGGAGGCTGAAGACAGTCAGCCACGGACTGAGAGAGACCTCACACCAGAGAGAGAAGACCTCAGTCTGGATAGAGAATATCAGAGGTGAGGGGTCTTATAAAATGGTCCACACTTCTATTTAAAGTGGTTATAATAACTTTTATTTTATAATTTACAGGGTTGAAAGGTTATTCGATATTATTTCATGTACTTTCGTTTGTCAGTTAGAAAAAGTCCAAATTTCCCTAGTTTTTTCTCTGGTCAATATTCTTCTTATTGAATCTTTAACCGAATGATGTCTTCGTCGCATCATTTTTGTTGTTTCCCTCTTTGTCCTTATCTTGCCTTGAGTATCATTGAAAGAGTATATTAGCACACCATTTCTGTAATCGTAAGGTCCACCCAGTTAAATTGTGGTCATTTATTTTCAAAGTTTCGTAGAGTATCTTGTTTTTTTATGACGATGTTCCGTATTTTATCTTTTTCTTCCCTATTCTTTTTTCTAACAGCTTGTTGGTATGCAAGTACTAATTTTGAACTATATTTTTTAGTTATGGCCCATGCACATTATATTCTTTATATATTTTTTTGTCTTTCACTACTTCCTTGAACTTAAAGTACCTTAAAATGTTTGGTACACTTTTTCGATGTCTTTGTTTACTCTACTGTACTGTATGTAACTGTTTTTACTGCAGTGTGGATAAGAAAAATAGCAAAATTGTGTTGATGTTCACTGTTCTTGTTGTTGCTTCAGATTTATGAAGGCAGTGTGGCCGGATGTAGTAGATAAAGTGGATACTTCTAGAAGTACGACTCCGGTTCAACAAGAAGCTAGGAAGAAGAAAGTTGATAAAGAAGCAGAAGACAAAAAGGTCAAGAAGATTAAATTGAGCAGTGAGGGATGGAGCCAAGAATCTGATATAGAAGAAGAAGATAAGAGGTGAATATTGTTACTTTATTTACAGAGTAGATCACAACAGAGCTTTACGATTTAAATAATTTTAGGAAACAAGCGAAAGAAAAAACTAAGATCCGCAAAAGAAAACACTCTACGTCTTCATCATCTAGTTCGTCCAAAGATGATGATGATCTGAGGAAAGAAAGAAAAATACTTAAGAAGAAGGTATTTAATATTTATCTTTATAGAGTCATAATTTTTTTATTTACTAATTAAATAAACATGCATTATTTTGGATAATTTAATTTTAGTTGAAACTATGTAATTGTTATGATTAAACTATGTAAGTCTTATGATTTAATTAGAAAATTTTCATTTCAGGCATTGAAGAAAACTAAGTCAAAATCAGCCAAACGCAGACGCATTGGTAGAAAAATGCTGAAAAAATTGAAAGATAAGCAGAAAAAAAAGCGTAGACTTAGTTCAGACGGCGACAGCGGTTAGTTGTTGAACATATTTTATACCATAAATAACTAGAGACACTATTATAAGTATTCAACAAAATACAAATTAAATTTACATACATGAATTTTGGAAATTCATCTTATATTACTAAAAAGAGTCAACTATTAATCTATATGTATAATATTTTTATCATATTTTAGGAATAGTAATGGTTAAGAATGTTTCTTATACTGTTTGAATAATATTGCATTATTCTGTACAGATTCTAATAGAAATAAGAGACTGAAAAAGAAGAAAATGGAAAAAAAGAAGCTAAAAGCTCAGAAGAAGAAGAAGAAAGTTGAATCGAGCAGTTCCAGCTCATCATCTGACAGCAGCAGTGACTCATCGGAAAGTTACAGAAGAACTAAGAAGAAAAACAAACAGAGCGCCAAGAAGAAGAATAGTAAACGACAAAGAAAACAATCTTCATCAGATTCAAGCCAAAGCGAGATTTTCGATGTCAACATATTGAATAATATTAAAACGGAAAGATTAACAGACGATGAAAAAGGAAAGAAATTATTGGAGTTCTCACCGAGGAGACAGAAACCGAGAGAGATAATAAATGTTAAGGAACTACAGAACGACTTCGTTGAAAAGGTCCATATAAAACAAGAAAAGGTGGAAAAGGCCAAGCAAAGTCAGGGGGAAAGTGATGATAAGGAAAAAGATGTGGCTGAGGTTAAAGATGATGAAAATGTAGTGAGTATAAGCAATATATAATCACGAACACAAAATTTATTATATATATTTTTTAATATTTTGACCGTTCAAGGCTTTTTAGTAATACCATTGACTTACAATTTAAGTGAAAAGATTTTTTTGTATGGCTTTCTTTATATCGTTTTGAGTTTGTTCTCACTGTTATGTATAAATTCATTGAGAGATAATTTTGGGAATATAGTCTTCAATAATTTTTTAATGGTAAAATGAGAATTTATTGACGAGTAAGACCATACATCATCATAAAATTTTTGATACTAAGTAAATATTGAGAAACTTTTTACCTGAATGTAGGGTAGTCTGGCTATAACTGATTTTCTCTGGAATATTAATTATTGATACAAGTATTTTTTTCAGGTTCAATCGCCCGTCACTGTTGAACAAAATGTTGAACAAAACTCACAGGAATCTGGCTCCGTGAGTAGTGTTAAGGTGTGTATTGTGATTTTACTTTTGCTTTATTCAAAACCATCAACTTTAATCTTGGATAATATTGACTTATACGGTACTTGCAAGGATACATGGAGTTCCTTTACCGAACTTGGAAATATAACTATAGTTGTGTTACACACACATATAAAAACGAGCGCACACACACGTCATACTTTCATCTTTTACTTCTTCTACCTGGCAATTTCCCAGCTTTAGCCAGGGTCTTCCTTACATGTTGTGAATAGTTTTGGCTAATTGATTTTACGACCGGCCGCTTGCCTGACATTAACCCTCTTTTGGAAAAAACACACGCACACATGCATACACATATAAATATTGCGTACAATATATTATACTATAATTTATTTCTATTACAGGATGCACCGATCTATGAAAAAGATGAGAGCCATCTCCGTCCCTCCTCACAGAACTCGAACTACAGCTTCAACGACGTCATCGCGAGCCAAAATACACTCTATGCTAAGGGAATAGAGACGGTTACTGCGTGTGAGGGGAACGTAGATAACTATGACGGAACCAACTATGAAATGTATGAACAGATGGCCATGCAGTACCAGAACGATGTGGCGAGTCAGGTGAAGGAATAGGGTTAATAATGATAGAATGTTATTAGGATTTAGAGTAGCGGGAATTGGAAAGAAAAAGGTTTAGGATTGATTTGAGACATTTTATTGCATGGGATAATGAAGTAAAATTAGTAAAACTAGATGAATGTTCCATATGATAAATTCAGTTTCGAATAGAATAATTGGGTGACATTTTACAACTTAATATGTACATATGTTTATGGGGAAATCTTGTATGTGATGTACATTAGTTAAACCTACATTTGTTTCCCAATTATTTGGTCCCATAAAATAATTAAGCTAATATCTTGATTTATGTTCAAATTATAACAGAGGATATTTTAGTCTCGTTATGAATCAATTAATATCATATGAACATTTTTATACAGATATCTGTGGAGCATGTTCCATCAAATATGTTGTTTATTACTAGATATAACTTATTACATTATTCAATAAATGATATTTATATTCCAGGAAGCCAGTCCTCAAGTTGAATGTTCCCAACGTATAGAGACGGTAGTTCGAGCTCGGTGCGGGGAGATTAAATGTGACTGGAGACCGCCCGCGTGTCCTCCGCAACGATGGACCGACAGACCGTCACGATGGGGTGAGGAGATATATATATAAATATATATTATATACTAGCTTTCCGCCCGCAGCTTCGCCCGCGTGAAGTTCGGTTACACCGCGTTTCCAAGAGAACCTTTCAAAAGTCTAGGATAAAAAATAAACTATGTTCTTTCTCAAAGTCAACTCTATGTCTGTAGCAAATTTCATTAAAATCAGTTCAGTGGTTTAAGCGTGAAAGCGTAACAGACAGACAGACAGACAGAGTTACTTTCGCTTTTATAAAATTAGCAGGGAAATTAAATTATGTTACATACTACGTCTCCATTAATATATTTTATATAAATAAATGTTTAAAAAAAGATTTACTATGCTTCAATTAGTTATTCATTACGAAGCAACGCGTCGGAAGCGTTCAGTCGATGTATGTAATAATTATTATAATTAATAAAAGTATTGAATAAACGAACTCAATATTCACCCTTACTATAACAGAAAATCGGCGTGAAGTAGTCTATAATGGCTATTTTTTGATCTATGAGTGAGAGAGACGGTTGCCCTTTCCTATCCCTTTCTTTCTCACAATCAAGGTTGGCAACGTATTCGCAATATATTTCTAACATTTACATTTCAAATGTCCATTTGCGATAATGACTACCGTACATTAAGTAAGCCGTCTGCTCGTTTGCCGCCTTTGATATGAAAATAAAACCTTCATTTAATTGAAAATATCCTTAGCAATTGTAAAAAAATCTCTATTTATAATTTATCCAGTAGTAGTCTGTATGTATGCGTGATATGTTATCTATATATAAAAGATAGTTGATCTCTGTTCACTTAAAATTTAAATTAGTTCTGAAATCTCTTGAATAAATGACTTATTTACTTACTTTTATTACTTTGCTTTGCTTTACTTATATTACTTTGCATCTCCATTAAATAAAAAAAAATCCTACTTCAATATCAAACAGAAACAAAGTAATGCTATCCAATAATGATCCAATTACCTCTAATCTATTCCAGGTTTGAAGCCGGGTGAAGTGAACATAGTACTGACAGGTGGCACCACTGAGCCACCAACACAACCTGAGCCCGTGTATCATATACAGAGTTTAGCCAACAGGACCGACAATACTGGGTAACAGTTAATTATTCTTCTTTTACCTCGCAATTTCCCAGCTTTAGCCAGGGTTTGCCTTACATATTGTGAATAAGTAGTTTTGGCTAATTGTTTTTACGACCGGCCGCCTGCCTGAAATCAACCCTCTTTGGGAATGCATTAATCAGTGATGTCTAAATACTCTTATAAAGAACATATGACTCGGAAATATCACATTGGTACTTGCCAGGGCCAGGATCGAACCCGCGTCCTCGTGCATGAGAGGTGGGCGGTTTTTACCCATTAGGCCACCACTGACTCATAATAACATTTAATTATGTAACATCTATAAAAATATTATATTACAACTTCTTGCCCTTAATAATTATATCGTAAACCTTATTTCAGTTACGATGAAGCCTACATGGATATGTACGGCGCTGCAGATAGATTGCAATATGGAGATTGCTTCGCCACGGAAAATAACACGAACACTAAAAGCGCTAACATACCGATAGTGACTAACACGGAAATAAAAACAACTTCATCATTAGACGCACGGATAGATAAGGCTTTGAGGGAAACAGGTTTGTATTAGCCTAATAAATATCATATATGTATGAATTATTACTATTTGAGAATTCTACTTGCAAACAAATATTGCTATAAAAAATTCTCCTTACACTATTGTCAAGTTAACATAAGAATAAAAAATAACTAATAATAGATATACAAGTTTATAAAGAAATAAATAATTGTACAAGATGCAAATAAATAGTCTAGCAATTGTTTGTTTGAGTGCATTACATTCTTACAGTGCATAAGATTCTTTTTATTGAGAAATCGTTAGTTAAAAGTAATATAATAATTATTATAATAATAAAATTAATTTTTCTAGTTCTAGGTGAGGTTGCAAAAGAATTGGAAGCGGATACAGAGAAAGAAGCGCCTGAAAAGGGAATATTGATGACGTAAGATTAATTTTGATATATTAATTGTAGTCTGAGAGCATGTATAGATATTTTGTTAGTCTCATGCAAAAAATACTGAGCGGATTTTAATGAAACCTTCATAAAATGTAGTTCAGATAATATAATAACATATTAGACGTAATTAACACCGAAATTTGGTGTTTTTTTTATGAAGTCACGTGTTATGTGCTATAGACTTTTACTGAATTTCAATAAGCATATTATTTTTATGCACACTTCAATTTCTTTAAGGCAATTCAAAACCTTTAAACAAAACCGCCGGCAAAAACAAGTTCTCTAAATATAAATGTTTCCTTAATCTACTACTAAGTCTACTTAATATATTCAATTTTTTTTTAGCGCCATTCCCGAATCTCGGGGCAATAAACGTGTTCGTTTCGCTGATGGATATACGCCGGGCCAGGACTCGGACGTAGAGGATCCGCCCGTTAAAAAGGTGAGATATAATGAGAATAAGATAGTAAAAGATATCAAAAGATATCACGTTGGTATCTTAATAACTTTATACACAAACTAGCTTTCCGCCGACAGCTTCGCCCGCGTGGAGTTCGGTTATATCGCGTTTCCAAGAGAACCTTTTAAAAGTCTGGGATAAAAACTATCCTATGTTCTTTGTCAAGGTCAACTCTATCTCTGTACCAAATTTCATTAAAATCAGTTCAGTGGTTTAGGCGTGAAAGCGTAAGAGACAGACAGAGTTACTTTCGCATTTATAATATTTGTAGGGATGTGTACTATCAAATTTACCAATATGTAAAATAATAGATCGTGCCTCATTGGTATGGATATTTTAATTCTGCATATTTAAAACGACACATCTTACTTTTGGTTCATAAAAAAATATTTTTGTTATTTATTTTGCATTCTTCTCTATATTGCGGTAATAATCTTAAAAATACCAAATGAAAAAAGGGGACATCTACACACCAAATGAAAAAAGGGGAAACTTCGTAATGTTAAAGTGAAACCAGTAACTAAATTATTATTATTAATGATTTTTTTGTGTTTCTATTAATATTAATAAGTTAACAACATTAACAACATTACATACTTACATTAAGTTAACAACATTACATACTTACGAGCAGTGGCGGCTGTACCTTAAGTGCGCCCGTGCGCTGAACCACCAATTCAAAATATTTAAAAATTACAAAATATTATGTCATCTTAATTTTTAAATTACCATTTTAATATTTATTTTTTAAACATACAAAAAGGTATAAAAAAATTTATTTCCAATTATGGTCAAAAAGTTTGAGCGCTTTACTAAACTCATATCGTGCGCTCCGGCGAGTGCACGAGGACTGCTAATACATCTTGTATGAGACACGCATTAATACGCCTGGCGCGTGAGACAAAAGATAGTTCATAGAAATGCACCGAGTAACGAGTCGGTTCTCGCGCGCCGCACGAAGCGGCCGAAGATTACCGAGAGCACCCGATGTATGACGAATTGAGCCGGCCGGCAAGGGGCCGGCCGAAAGGATGGGTGCTATGATTGACATTTCGTTAATCGTTATTGGTATTGTTTCAACTTTCACTGTATAATTATTTCCGTAATTCGTTTTAGTTTTTATTTCGTTTCTATAATAGAACTTTTATTCTGTACTGTGTTTTTTATTAGTTGAAAATGAGTATAAATATTGATTATATTAAAGAAAATAACAAAATTTTTCAAAGTAAAGTGAACATAAAATTGGCCGGGCCGCCACGCCACGGCCCTTTTTAAATTTAAAACAAGAGTGTAAATCGAAAAATAAAGCATTTATACGAAGTTTTAAAAGTGAAATGTATAATAGAAAGAAATGGTTGTGTGGATGTGAGCGTCTTAATGCATTCTTTTGTTTTCCTTGCATTATTTTTGGCGGAGAATCGATTTGGACAGAAACTGGAATCAAGGATTTGACGCATTTAAGTGAAAAAATAAAAAAAACACGATTCTTCACAAGTACACCTACAAAATGTAATGAGTTTGTCTGTGTTAGGCACAGTCGATATTCGTAATCAGCTAGATTCTGTGTATAGAAGTAATATCTAAAAGTATAATAAACAAGTTGATAAAAACAGATACATTTTATCACGTCTTATCGATTGTGTCAAGTTTTGTGGTGCATTTGAGTTAGCTTTGCGAGGTCACGATGAAACTATTGAGTCCAGTAATGCTGGAGTGTTTCGTGGATTAATAGACTTTGTATCAGAGTTGGATATAGTTATGAATTAATGTACAAAAAATAAACATATTTTATGTCAATTGTTGTTTTTGTCAATATTTTAGTAAAGTGAACCACCAGTTCGATAACCCACCAGCCGCCACTGCTTACGAGTCAATTCATTATCGTCATGCGTTCGAGCGCTATACATTCCCTATCGCTGTCTCTTTCTATCCCCTCTTAATTGAAACTCACATAAGAAGTTTTCTTTATTTCTTTAACATTGTGCCTAGTATAAATATCATGCCATTGATTTTATTATTAAGTACTGTAATAGACACTCAATTACGTACTCTTACTATTATAGTCTTATTTCACGCTTACCACATAAGGTGCGATAGTATAAGCACAACATAACAATATATTATTATTACAGAAGAAGCGTCGTCGTACCGGCTGTCCGTGGCCGTGCCCCGCCTCTCACCCCGACCACGTGTCTTTGTGGGACGCGCTGCCGCCCCCTCCCCCGCCGCCCGGCTCGCCGCCCCCTCCCCCGCGACACACACCCTCCCTACAGCTGCTGAGGACGACCCGACAACCCTTACTGTTACCACCGGTGCCGTCACCACTCGTTAAATATGGTGTGTATCATCATCACCAGCCTATCAGAGACCACTGCTGAGCAAAGGACTCTTCTCACATGGAGAAGGTTGGCATTAATCAGTAATCACCATGCTTGATTAAGACTGGTGGGTGATTTCAAACTTATAATTGTGAAATTATAAGTCCAGGTTTAAACACGACAGTGCCAAAGTATTGTACGGTGTAGATATATTCTTATATTCCTACATAGATAGTTAATATAGAGTGGTGGCCTAGTGGTTAAAGGCCTTTCATGCATGTGGGCACGGGTTCGATACTGGCAAGTACCAATGTAATTTTCCCGAGTCATATGTACTTTTAAGAGTATTTAGACACCACTGACAGACGGTGAAGAAATACATCGTGACTTATAATTTCAAATTATAAGTTTGTAATCACCAACCAGTCTTGATCAAGCGTGGTCATTAATGCTCTAACCTTCTCCATGGTGATAAAATAGATATTATACATAATGACTAGTTGTTATAGATAATATAAAAATTGACTGGACAATGTGATAAATTAATCACTTTCTTTTTAGGTTAAGTTAGGTATGTTTAAGGCAAATTGTATTATATTTTGCAATATTTACCTACTTGTTTTATAACATTATCTAAGTCTTGAAGATATTATATAAAGTTGCTAGTTGTAGTTAAAGAACTTTATTTTCTCATAAAGAACAATGTTCACTTGAGTGAGATGTATTACAGAATTCAATTCAAACAACAATTCAGTACAGTAGCAACGAACCATACAACTCAAGAGTGGTTAATCCAAGTGCTCCCTACAATAACCCAATAGTTTCCTTCTAAAAATCGCATCGTTTTTTCATCAAAAACTTCGTCAGGCAAGCCAGTATACAGTTTCGCTCCCTCAAACTGTATAGTTTATGGTTAAAGATACTTTATTTCTCAAAAAGAAATTACATTTCACTTATTATGAGAAACTTATGATTATAAACATATATTAAATTAAAACTTCGACACTTTAAAACATACCCTCAAAGCAACAATAATTGTGTACAAAAACAGCGATAAGAAATGCAAACTCATAGACACAGAGTAACAAAAACAGTTAGATCATTAGTTATTTATTTCATACTTTATTCTTATTATATTTAATTTACTTAATATTTATTTATTTATTTATTTTTTTGTGCATTAGCTTATATTGGTTATATTATTTTAATAATGTATTGTCATTTAGTATATGTTTTTTCAGTTTAAATTTAAAAATGTTGAATGAATTTGCATTTTTTATCTCTTTAGGTAATTTATTATAGATTTGTACTCCAGCAAAGATCACGGTGCGCATACCTAAAGCGGTTCGGACTTGAGGTAATAGGATATGGTCTCCCCTTCGGCTACTACGGGTGTGAGCCTGATGAACTTTTGTGAATGAGATTTGTGAATTAATTGATTTATTCAGGATTTTTCTTATTAATATACAAGTGCCATATGCGTGTAATTGTTTTATATTCATGAGCTTTGTCTCCTTATACAATTAAGTAATCGTAATTAAATAACATTTTAATGATTTTATTTTGTGAAATTTGTAAGTCCTTTAAGTTGCTTTTTGGAGCAAAGCCCCAAATTTCAATTAAATATTGTAAATGTGGTTTTACTAAAGAATTGTATATTATCAGTCGCACTTGTCGCGGAATACAGTGAACGAAGTTACGTAGGTTACCCATTAAAGAACAAATCTTTGATCTCACGTGGTCAATCTGAACTTTCCAGTTTAAACCATCGTCCAATCGAAGTCCTAGATATTTTTCAGACTGTAATTGCTGAAGTATTTGACCACTAATTTCGAGAGGAGCGTGTACCGGAATGTTTTTGTTCCTGGATTTAAAAATGACGTAGCTAGTTTTAGATGCATTAATACTAAGTAAATTTTGCCGAAACCAATGAACCAGCGTGTCAATATCCTGCTGAGCTTGTTTTATTATTTCATTTAAATTACTACCAAAATAAAATAGACATGTGTCGTCTGCGTAAAGAGAGAGATGACCTTGTATTGGAGTCTTATGTATGGAATTTAGGTAAATTAAGAACAGCAGTGGACCCAATATGGAACCTTGAGGCACACCGAACTTACCAGTACAATGAGGTTTACTTTGATACTCCCCGATTTTCACTATCTGATAACGGTTGGATAAATATGATTCAAACATTTTGTATGCTATTCCTGATACTCCTACGTCACGAAGTTTACTTAACAATATCGAATGGCTTATCGTATCGAAAGCTTTTTTGAGGTCTATGAATAGCCCCAAAGCAATGTTTTTTTTATCGATATTAGTGTACAACTTTGTTACCATATCTATCGTGGCTGAGAGAGTGCTAGATTGGGAGCGAAAGCCATATTGTCTTTTGTAAATAAAGTCGATAGACGTAAGGTAGTCATCTAAACGTTTAAATAAAATTTTTTCAAGATTTTTGGAAATGACTGGAAGTACGGATATAGGCCGGTAATTGTTCGGATCACTTTTAGACCCAGATTTGTGTATAGGAATGACTTTGGCTACTTTTAAGGCATCTGGAAAGATGCCTTCAGCAAGGTGATAGTTTATACATTTTGTTAAAGTGTCTGTTATTAGGTTACTAATGCACTTTACAGCTTTAGTAGTTATACCGTCTATTCCAGTACTACAGTTTGTATCAAGATTATGGATAATTTTGGAGACTTCAGCGGCATCACAAGGTTTGAAAGATGACAACTTTGATGAGTGGCGTATTTGTGTTTGTGTGATGGGTGGATTTGAAGTGTTGTGATTTTGTGTAGCTAAGATAGTCTCTGCAAGAACAGAACCAATAGTAGCGAAGAAGTGATTGAATGTTTCACAAATCTCATTACCTTCAAGTATAGGGCCGGATTCAATTTGAAGCTTTGGAGGAGTATTGTCAGCCTTGATTCTATTATTTGACAAAGTATTTAATAAATTCCACATCTTCTTAGTATTTCTTAAATAATTTGTAAATTTCTTCTTATAGTATTTCTCTTTAGCACTTCTGATTTTTCCTGCTGTTTTTGATCTTTCAATTTTGAACTGCTTCTCAACTTCTTCATTATTAGGATCTTGCTTTAATTTAAACCACAATACATTTCTTTCTTGAATACTGGTTATAATATCTTTGCATATCCAGTCTTGTCGAGGAGGATTTAAAATTTTGGTCTTGGTTACTTTGCTGTTGTTAATTCCAGCTTGTATTATTTTTTCTAAATTTTCATAGCTGTAATTTGTAGAACAAAATTTCGTATTGCTAATATAGCTATTAAGTGTTTCATAATTAATTGCTTCGTAATTTATTCGCTTTTTTGCCGGTGGCTTATATTTCTTTATAGATAAGTAAATTTGCTTGTGGTCGGACATAGGGCTTTCAATAATGGCCATATGAAAGCGTTTCTCTTTTAGATTTGAGCATATATGTTCAAGAATAGTCTTAGACAGTGTCGTTTCCCGTGTACAATAATCTTGATGAGTGTTGTTGATGAGAATGTATCCAGATTCTTTTATAATACTCTTGTAGCGTTTGATATTACGACTTTGTGATAATAAGTCTATATTAAAGTCACCGAATACAACTGCTCGTTTCTTTTGAACCAATTGTGTCGAGTACAGCTCAAAAAAGTCAGATATATTTGTTGTTCCGGGATTGTAAACAAGTCCTATGTCCAGTGCGAATTTCTCAACATATATCCAGAGGTAATTAACCCCTCCAGCGTATACTTCTTCAAATAAACTGTGTTTTAAATTATCGTGTACAAATATAGATACGCCGCCACCTCTTGAGTCTGTTCTAAGGTTGTAATAATGAGTATAATTCGGTAATTGGTACAACTTAACGTCATCTATGGATCTTAACCATGTTTCGGTCAAGAGAATTATGTGAATTTGACATTGAATCGATTGAATTATACATTTTATTTCATCAAATTTACCATCTTTACGGATACTTCGTACATTAGCATAGAAGAAATTTAATTGGGACTGCGATACAATAAGATCCTGATATGTTTGACAATACTGGTATGAAATATTTTCGTGTGTAATAGTTTCTTTGCCCTGTAACCTTAATGTTTCGAGTTTTTTGATACGTTTTGTATAATTCTTGGTGTCCCTTTAATGTATTTTATAGTTAAATTCTCTTCTCCGTTTGCTTTCCGGCGATTGAGTTCTTCACTAAGTTCCTTGATTATAGATCTTTGGGTAGGAGTCTGATCTGAATATATTTTTATGTTATCAGGTAATTTATTCTTGTTTCGTAATATATATTTAACTTCATGTTGATTTTCAAAACACACCTTAAGCGGTCGGTTTTTTCCTTTAGAGTATTTGCCCAGTCGCATAGTTTTATATATCTTAGGATTTTCAGCTGTCACATTCAGAAAAATTTTTTGAGCAAGACTCAGATCCATGGCTTGGCGTGCAGAACTATCAGCATTAGTTTGTTCGTTTATACCAAAGACTATAATATTCACACTTCTATTGGCCCTTTCCTGCAGTTCATTGATGATTTCCTCGTTATCAAGAACATCTGGAATACGGGGTTTGGTCGAAATACACTCAAGCTTGCTCAATTTTGCCTCAAGCTCAGATATTTTGGATTCTGCAATGGAGTTATTCTTCTTTAGTTCTATGATTTCAGATTTTACACTTTGTTGTTCCGCTAGCATTTTACTAGTTGATGTTTTGATTTCATTAATTTGATTTTTCATTGCAGATATATCATCGCGCATCGTTGACAAGTTGCTCTCGAGTATTGAGATTAATTCCCCACGGAAGTTGTTGATTTCGGTTACGATGTCACAAAATTCTTTTTGATTTCTTTTACGATAAGTAATTTTACTTCCCGAATCATCGTCACTATCCCGAGATAAGTCCAGTTGAGGCTTGCATTTGCATTTTGAGCATTGTTTTTGACCTACTGGTCGATTTACCTTTTTTGTACTCTGTGGCGACCGTTGCGTATCCATGGTCTATTGTTTAGATGTGGTTCGCACGGGCACGGAGGTGTGAAGAGTATGAAAAATGCAGCTATTTCTTTTACCCGAGGTGAAGCGGGGCGCTTGTACTGAGGCCGGTTGATTAAACTGTTCACTCGATATTAGTAATAGCGCGCTTAGGATTAATGGCTTATTTTTGCTTAAAGAAAGGTTAAAGTTTTAACTATTAATCAGTAACACGTCTGCACTTACATTTTAATTCCATATTTGGTCCTGGTCTTGGGTAATTCAAGTTTGTGTTTATGTCTCGTGTTATGTTTATATGTTTTAGTTTTAAATGTTATTTGCTAGTTAATATATTTAATATCTAGATTTATTACTTTGGCTATAACATATACAGTAATAGTATAAAAGTACCTGCTATTATATTATTATATATAGAAATATTATGATAATATTTCTATTCTAGTTATTTCTGTTAAAGTTTGTGAGACCTCATAAAACTATTTATTTTGTTAAAAAAGATTTTTAAGACTAAGTATAGTATATTTTCTTTAACATTGTTTAAGTTAAATAGCACTTGATTAATATCTAAATGTAAGTATTATTATTACATTAAAATGAGCTTGACTATATGATTAAGGTCAACTTAAATTATATAGAGGTAACTAAATCATGTTAAAAAGCCTATTTATAAATGTTTATTCCTCTAAAAATATTTTTATTAATCTTGATTTAATTCATAACTTTTTCTCTCTATTAATCCTAAGATATATTTACTTGTCTGTACATATTTTAGTAATGATTTTAATTTCTCTTTTAATGAAATATTTCTATATATTTTCAGATCCTTCTGTTCCTCTGCCCGGGTTCATGCCTCCCGAACCTCCCCCGGGACTTATTACTTTACAATAGAGTATATTATATATTTTTTTGGACCCTTAAATGTAAATAAAGTAAATTTAAATAAATTGTTGTTTAAATTTTAATGTATCCTTATGTACAAGATTTTAATGAATGAAATCTTTTTGATGATGTTGAAATGATTCTAGAAATTGAAATATTTATAATTAACTTTGTGGTAGGATTACTTAAAAATGGAACTACAAATTGTATGGCTCAGTTAGTTTAAAAGTCAACAAAAGTTAAAAATAAATTTGTAATGAAAGAAGTTTGTTATGTGGCGGTGTAATAAGTGGTCGTTTAATTAAAATATAATTATCTTTATACGGTGTAATCGTAGGACGCCTTAGCTTCTGGGTAAACTCGTCTATTCTACACGGGTCTGACTCAGCAGTTCCGTGTAAAGACAGTTTTTGGTTTTATATTTCTTTTATGTTTCTAGATTATTATATTTCTTTTAAGAATTTCATTAGATTTATTGTCACTATTTGTTCACCCTTTGTGCAACATAGTCGCACCCTAGTTGTAACTTACTTTTAATTAAATTAAATCAAATAATTTTGGTTTCATTGCATCCACGGACCGTCGAAATCATAATTAGTTACTAAACAAAACATTTAAATTGCTGGTATTCTGGTAATTCATATTTTTATATGTAAAATCTCTGCGTTGACCGCCATGAGCTCAGATTGCTTCTTTTTGCACTGTAGTACAACTTGGCAGATTTTTAGGACCTCTGATATAGAGGAACCGCAATCTAATGAGCAAGTTGGTGTGCAATTGCTGTTGTCAAGACGTTAACACTGAGGGCTTAAAGAGGTTTGTCTAAGAGTTAAGCTAAAAGTGTCAAGCCACACTGCTTCATAATATGGTTGAGACCAGCTTTCTTTAATAGCCATTTGGATTTAACATCTTGAGCTTCCCTGATGAGAATGAAGATGAGGCTTCAAAATCCATGTAATTAGTTGTATTTTCATCAATAGAACAGTCTTGTGACTTCTTGAAAAGACAATAGACGAAAAAAGACAAAATCCTCTAATTTTTCCTATCGTAGTCTGTCAAGGTATAAGGAAACAGCCAGACTTTATGTTGTGCATTAAGTCTTTATGTTGTGCAGTATTGAATAGAAGCTAAGTTGGCACATAGGTAACCTAAGCTAAGCTGTAGCATCCTCATTGAGATGTAACATTAAACGAGTCATCACCACTATGCGATCAATACACAGTGTATACTCAGGCATGTTCACGCAAAATAGTTCTATTTTGTAAACAATCTGTGTGCATCAGATTTCAGAGAGTAGAAAATTTGCTGACTTCACGCTACAAAGGCAATAATAGCAGGGGTCATTGCGTATAAACACAGATATCCCGGTGTACTAAAGAAAGTTATATCCAAGGGAATAGTTTAAATTCATGAGATACATTACGGCTGTAAAACATTCGATTTGCGTCTCCATGAAAGTAGGAATGATCAGAGGTATAGACATATCTGATGTCGTGGTTTGCTAATCCATTAATTTTGCTCCCTACTAACTGTAGGATTCCCGAAGAACACTCGTTTTCATATTTTGTTACCATTCATGACCAAGCACAATACAATGAAAATTTGGAATATTGTTCTTGGATCAAATCAAAGTCAACTTCAAACGCATATAATAAATAATTGAATAATTACAGCGATAGGCGGCATACCTGTTAATAATTATAACTATGATATATTGGGTGGGAAATAATAATCATAATTTAGATTATGAAAAACAAAGGTACATTATGAATTACTAAAAACTCCTACCATTAGTAAATAATAACTAACTGATTGCTCAGAAAATATTTTCTGTTATTTACAAAATTGTATTCTTCGGGCTCTTCAAATAGCTTTTGATCAAACAAGAAGTCTGTTATCGTATCCTTCTTGTAGGAAGAATTGTAGGTAGAGTTTACCCAGTTTCTTATAGTTACATCTCTTTTTTTTCTTTTTCTTTCGGTGTTATGTGAAAAGTTAATTCAATTACTTAAATTCAGGTATTTTACTATGTTATTGAAAATTAGATCTCTTTAACTGTATTGTAATTTGTTCATTAATTATGAGGTCTCAATATTTTTTTTTAACATCCAAAACAATAGGATCTTTAGGTTTTACAAGTAATATGGTATCTTATGTTTGATGTAAAAACACACTGATTTGATTGTGGGAAGGTTCGTTGGTTGATATTATATGTTAGGCTTGCAAGCTCAAGATTGTCTCCCAGTGTGATGCAGCAAAAAAAATATACGAAGTTGATTATTAAGTATGTACTTACCTATGTTCTATTTGTCTGTTACACCCATCAACATTTATCTCTAGGTAATCTAAGTCTATACATATAGTGTTGTTTTTTTTTAGCTATTGTTCTTTGTTATCTGTTTTGCTATATTAAATAAAACTAGCGCAGCTGTTTAAAGTGGAGATGAAATCGATACTTATTTATCCAGTTTTTGAAGTAAAACTTCTATACGCACGCTGGACTTGGAAGTAAGCTGACGAAATCGTAACGAAAAGTGTGGTCGGGCGAGGCGAATGAGGAGAAAGGAAGATAAGTTATTGAAGATAGATGTGTGTCGGATTTAGAACTAATTCATTCTTTTTAAAAAGAATGACGTCAGCACTAATGATGTCACGTATGGATATGGTCGTGACTGTCGTCAGGCTCTCAGGCTATAGAACAGGGGTGGCCAACCGGTCGATCGTGATCGTTAAACCAGTCGATCGTGGTCAGTCAAAAAATATAAATAAATAAACCAGACTGCGCATTTTAATTATCAACAACTGCAGCACCGTCTTGTATCATTTTTCAATCGCTGTTCCGTCACGTTATTTATGCTCTATTCTACAAAGTATAGTGTTTTGTTTTCGACACGCAATGACCAATAAGTGGGAAGCGTGTGGGTTACGGGGAAGCGCCGTGTCTCAAGTGTCAATCCGTCCCGTGGCACCCAATAATCGGTCAGGTGACAGTTGATTACATCAATTTCTTTTAAAATTGTAAATTCCATAAAAGGAAAATCCCTTCCAAGTCGACTCTTTAAACAGCAATTAGATGAAAAGCAACCAGAATATGCATTGCACATTGACGTAAGGTGGTTAAGCCGAAGCAAATTTTTGCAAACATTTCGAAATCTCTTGGAAGAAATAATAATATTTCTTGATGAAAGGGGTGATGATTATCATCAATTGCGTGATTTAGACTGGCAGTATGATTTAGCTTTTTTGGCTGATTTTATTGGTAAACTGAATACATTAAATCTGAATCTACAGGGAAGGAATAAAACATTTATAGAAATGATGAGTTCTATTGCTGCGTTTCAAAGTCAAACAGAATCTATGATATTTGACATAGACAAGAAAAAATTCGAGCAATTTAGACCAGTGTCGATAGCTTTTAAAACATAAAAAAATATAGTAGGATAAAGCCCATTAGAAAAGAGGGGAAATAATATAAAAATTGAAGGAAAAATAATTTACCAAAAATACCAAATTTTTGAAAAAAGCTGATATTTAGACGGGTGATTTTTCGATTGAAAATGAGGCTGATTTTTCGATTGAAAATGAGGCTGATTTTTCGATATTTACTCAAAACTTATTCAAAAAAAAATAATTCTAATCAAATAAATTACAGTGTATTAGGGACATTAAAAGATAAGTTTTCACCAAATTTCGTGACAAAATATTGTTTTTTGGAAGAGATAAAAATATAAAATAAAAAACTTGGTTCTATGAATTTTTCACATAAATTTTGAGATTATTTGAATAAAATGTACGTACAAAAGTTTAGAATGTCTTTATTACCTATAACTTTTTTTCGTAGGACGTTTAGTTTTGCCGGGAATCGAGAAAACCCATTTTTTACCCTTAAATATCCTTCCCTTCCCGACCTCAGATCGTCCGTAAATTATTATTCCTTCAATTTTAAAATATTACCCTCCCTTTCTAATAGGTTTCATACTACTATAATTGTGTTTTTCACTTTTCATTAATTTTAAAGGCTTCTACTCTAGCCTAATTTGTAAACATCAAGGATCATGTGGAAAAACATCCTACCTATAATTTCATTTCTGAGAAGTACACGACGGAAATTAGTGATAGCAGACTTTGAAATTCAGTTTAGTGATTTCAGACAAATTGAGCAGTTGGTTCAATTTATAAGTTAACCGTTTAATGATGCCATTAACCACAGTGATATTTATGAATTGGCTACAAAATTTGCAGATACACTTCAAATGAATTACATTTGATTATCATTATGTTACAAAACGAAATCATTACTCTGCGCTGCGACATATTTCTAAAAGCAAGGTCAAGTCAAAATTTCTGGGCACGGGTTACAAAGAAAAATATCCAAATTTGAAAAAATGTGTTGAACAACTTCATTCGTGTTTTGGTTCAACATATTTATGTGAATCAGCATTTTCCTACTTAAAACAAACCAAAACTAAACACCGTTCACGCTTGACATGATTATGTTTAACTAGTGGAAAATGTTCAGGCGCAATGCTCACACTAATATATAGGAGTTAGGACCCATATAATGTTAAGTAAATTTAAGAAAACGATCTCTCATGTGATATGAAAAGAAACTACTAAGACTGGTTATTAAAAAATACATGATTGTGCACTAAACTATGCAGTTCCATTTCAAGAAGTATGTACTTAGTATATCGCACAGGGTTTTGTTAGTAAACAGTAGATCTTAGGTCTAATCAAGTTGGCCACCCCTGCTATAGAAGGTAATCTCATAGACTCTTTTATTTCGAAAAGATTCCTGCAAAGGCCAGAGCGAGAATGTTTGTAATCTGTATCTTCATCTCTATTTATACCAACCGGCCCTCATTGTTGTGGCTGCACTTGCACAGGTGGCTACTCAGCGGGTTATCCAGGTGAAACCTGATAATTTTAACCATCTATAATTATTACTAAAATAAAAGGTATTCATTCCTATATATATATATCTATTATCGATTTGATTTATGTTATTTCGTTATTCGAACAAATTATTTTTTACTCTCGATCGATTTAGATTCATGTTTAGCTCATTTGTCTTATCAATTTTCGTTGGAATGTTTTTCTAGAGGTAATTTGGTTTTTGCTAAACTTTGTGGTAAGTAGGTTCATTTAAAAGTCAATAAATACAGGATCTAGATATCTTAAAAATCAAATCACTTTAATTTTTTTATATGCAAAATAATTAAGTACAATCATTAATAATAATAACATATTAAAAAACTGAATCGAAAAGCAACTTTTTTACTCTCTGTCAATTAGCAAGATCATAATAAGGATAATAAATAAAACGACAGCTTAAAAACAATAAAATAGATTTCATTTATTGTGAGACGAAAAATACAACAATGGGACTTATTACCTAAAATGGTTAGTGGCAGACAATGACTGTCAAAACAATTGATTGTTAGGTAGGAGGGAGGACCCCCTACGACACAGTAGACTCCTAATTTATGTCTTTCATCGGGAAACTGGTACGTAACGAAAATATAGCAATAATTATACACAAAACTATAACCATGACCTCTCTATTCACTGAAAACATAACTAATATTATTTAAACGTGAAATTTGAATAGTTTATTTTTTTTAACTAAGTTTTTTTTAAAAAGGCTTTACTGATTCAAAGCTAATACTCGATTACTTACAAGATTGTTTAATAGTTTAGTAGTGATAGCCGCTCGTCCGAGTGCGGGCGAGCGAGTCCGCGCGATCTACACTAGTCGAGGAACGTCGCACGTGCAACCAAACGCTACGAACCTCACAAAATAAAACATAACAACTCTCAATAATGCTACTATGAAACTTCCTATACAAAATTGAACATGCCGATTCTCTAAATCGCTCGATCATAATTATTAATATCTAAAACAAGTGGGCAGCGACCATCCGGCTCGTGTTTTCGGATCCTTGTTCAACTCATCACTAGATCCATTAAGTACATGTCTTACTTTATAAGTTCAAAATGCCACTGCGATACTAAGTCGCCTATGTCTGTGCCGACGCGTGTATTGACCATGCCTCAAGTGCGATATATCTCCTTTTAGTTGTCGTTCTTTGTCATAAATCTTACGTCATTTCAACTAACAGAGGTCATTAACCTCGCCCGGTCCTGTGACACGTCAACTTCTAATTCATCAGGTCAAATTGGTCCAATGACTTCGTCTCTCTCTCCGCACTTGAGGTAAGGCCCAACAAGCGTCCCGCTATTGCTCGTAGAGAAAAAATTCCAAAATCAATTCGTTACATGTATACTATATTTTGTTTAATAAACTTGAAGTATTTATCAATAATCAATAAGTACATTATAATAATTGAATAATTAGTATTTTGCATCATAAGAGACTAGCATTACAAATAAATACCATCAGCTATACAATTTAATGTTTATTTCTATTTAAACATTTTGAAGATGGTTAAGTGGACTACGTAGGTTTTTACACAAGAATACGGAGAGCGGTTCTTGTATAGAAACTTTACTGTTGATGCGTCTACGTACGAGATATGACTTAAATATATACTTAGATATAGAGGAAAAGGTCGTAAAAAAAAAAAAAAAAATAGTTATTGAAATTTATAACAAACACCTTAACTAATACTTCAATAATTTAGTTAAGTATACAAGGCGCGGGTTGGGCGGGGTGGGGGAGGCGGGCTGGCGCGCTTCTAATATCACTCGGCGTTACGTACAAACGATGGGGCTGCGCTACAAATGAAATAACTTTATACAAAAGGATGAATCGAGAGTCGAGACGACGCACTGGCCGCCCCCTCCCCGGCCGCACCACAACATGTCTTTGACAAAAGCAATACAAAACATTTCATTCCGTGTAATAGATGACACGATGCTACGCGAAATTTATTTTTTTTTCCATTTTATTTTTCAAAAAACACACGCCCATTCGCTCGTCCTCGCGCTTATAATCTAAAATTAATAATTAGACAATATTTTTTTTTTATTATTTGTTCAACAGACGCGCGCGTCGCAACGCGGCGCGTATAATAATAAAAATATTTTCAAAACAATCGAATAATTAAACACACTAGTTAACAATAACTTATGCTCGAACACCGGCGTCAAAACAAATAGTTGACAATCGTTTTAAAAAATATCATCATTCTATACACGATCGTTATTACAAGGGAGCGATGGCGGCGTCGGTCGGCGCGGGCGGGGGGTGTCCGGGAGCAGGGAGGGCGGGGGGGGGGGGTAGTGTTAGACGGCGGTCTCCGTGTGGCTGTGGCTGGAGAGGCGCTCCACGTCCAGGTCGTGCGGCGCGAGGGAGTGAGGCGCGTCGTACTCCACGCTAGACGAGTGTGAGAAGCGCTTGGCCAGCGCCGTCTGCTTGCGGAGTGCTTCAGCCAGCGCGGCGTCAGCGAGCGAGCCGCGCGAGTCCAACCCCTGCCGGAACGCGTTCACCACACGGATCTGCGTTCCCACCATCGTTATTCGCACCTCTCATCATCATGTCATCTGACTACCGCCCTGGCTCACAGCGTTACTGCTATACGCCCGTCTCCATTATCACCATTTAATAACCCACATTTACATTTATTTGTATAGCATCTAGCAGTAACACCACTTCGTCTATTACAGGTGATTGATTCGTTTGTACAATTTCTTACAAGTTTTAAATTTATATGAAAACATAATAGATTAATATTCAAAAATCAACCAATCACCTTTAAAAGAAATTATAGCGAAAACACGTTGCAGACACACGGGGGAGTTGAATTTGTAGCTTGTAAATACATTGGTGTGCCAATAGTGTGCTGCGCATGGGATTAGTGTACATTAATCGCACGAAACCAGATATGTTCCAGGGGTTGAGTTGATTTACAAATAAAATGCAAATACAGGAAGTCGGAACGTATCTCAAAGTGAAATGTGAGCCAGGGCGAGACGTTTATCAAAAACTTTAGAGCATCGCCTTTAGATGACATTGAGAATAGAATTAAGATATCAATAGAATAGATACAGATAATCACAATCCAAAGGCGATGCTGTAATAAAAAAAAGAAAAATATACATTTCTCGGAATAAACAAATAGAAGCACACCGAGCCATAAAAAGAGGCGTGAAGCAAATTCAAAAAATTCCAGTCACAGATAATCCGCTCTGGAGATGGGATCAATGGGATGGGCTTGAAGTAGGATCCCGCTTGATCCCAACTCATTGTAGTCGTCGAGCCGGTCCGTAGTCGAATGCCATGCAGTGATATCTACTCCCTCCTCTGAACACAGACGAACATTTGTATTACATTATTAGTGACGTATCGAAGACCCATGCATTTATGCTGTGACTGTATTTATCTGACCCCTATGTGAGCCGCTCGAAGCTCTAGAACGCTACGTTTATGAAGCAACATTGATTGCGTAACTTCGTTCCCGAAGCAAGCTGACCTATACGCTTCGCGACTCCATAAGCACAGCCTAATTATCAATCTAAAAGCCTTATTTATGAGATGGTATCCGTTTATCAAGCTTCCATGTTGTTTCCCTGTTCATTAGTTTTCTACGGAGCATCATTTAGGATTTATTGTGCAATGTATGGGGCAACCAAGGAAAATAACATATACAATTTATAGCTAAATGGTTATGTGGATGATTTACACGCTTTGAAGCTATGTGTAAGGAAAAGTTAGTGTGAACAGTCTAAATTTAATATTTATTTATTTCTAGATTAGTGATATATTAATTCAGGTGCGATCAAATACTCTAATAGTAAGAAAAGCTTTATGTTTTTGTTTTTTACTTCAATGATTTAGCATCTTAGGAAAAAGTAAAAAAATATCTATGATTAAATTAAAATATTTTTAAAAATACCTGTGAATCGAACCTATAAACAATACGAAAGTTTTATAAATCCCATTATAATATTGTAACGTGAATTTGATTCTTAATTAAATAGTGATTCATGCAGAGGAAGTCATGCTGTGATGAGACATGCAAGCGTAAAACTGACCGATTAACTTCAAATATTAAAAACACAATAACAGAAGTTAAAGGATCAGCGTGGACGGAACAGAATATAGTAGCGGATATGTAAGTTGAGTACAGTAAAATAAAAAATAAACAGAGGAATAAAATAAAACAGAAACAAAACAAAAAAATAGAATTAGATCGTCAGTGAAAGAGCAGGCTTCTTATGAAATCTTACAGCTTGATCGGTAGAAGTCTTGCTGTAGGGCACAGGAATCAAGCGCTCTTGTAACTCGCCACCTATGACCTTCCGTGTGCAATGGGGATTCATGGAAAAGAAAATTAAAACGAGAGCATGAGGTATAGATCGCTATAAGAGGCGACCCGACCGCGCTCGTACCACGCCCACGATCGGACGCTACTTCGGAACAAACAAAAACATATATACCGTGAAAAGGAAAAATAATAATAAAAAAATATTTGCAAAAATAATATATACTAGTATCAAAAAAAATATAGTTGTAATAGAATATAAATATCAGAGTTAGCGTCCGATAGAAAAGCAGTGAGTTGAAATTGAAACAGGTTTACGGGGACTATCGGAAGCGGTGCTTCGCGAAGCGTTTTGTCGGAAAAAGATAAATAATAAATAGAATAGGAGAAGAAATTAACGCAGGGTCTCCTATAAACCTTAAGAAGCACATTCATGGTTTGTGCACTTACAAACTATTTACACATTTTCCATCCAGGGCTCCGATACAATATCGAAAAGAACAAAAAAAAAAATAAATTTAAAATAAAATAATTGAAATAATAACAATTTGACATCGATCTGATATACAGTAGCTGTTGTCCTTGTAAATGCGTTGAAGCTTACATTGAGTTTACACTGTCTGTGCGTGTGTGTGTGTGATCACACAGTCGTGTGTGTTACATTGTATCTCTTCATGCGGTATTATCTAGAAGCACACATATTGTTGACGAAGTCGCTCACATACCAGATAATAAATCGTAGAACATATCATACTACAACTAATATACATAAGCGCTATAATAAAACGGTGATTGCAAAAAACATCTCTTTGAACATTCACATCGACATTTTTCACCCGGATTATTGTTTCTACTGGTGTTTTACAACTATTAAGCGAGCCTATTCTCTAAAACACTAACTATCATACACAAAGTGTTGTATAGGTGAAATTTTATTAGACAATAATTTTCCACCAACAATAGTCTAAGACATGCTAGGTGTAAATACTAAACACGTTTTAAGCTAAGCTTCTAACATAGTACTACAAACATTCCGGCCAACGTTGGACGCCATATCCAATATGTTGGCCACATTAATGACAAAAACAGTTCCGGTGGCCATTTACCTTATAAATTCAGCTCCGAACGAGGCACGGGGTGAAATGAAAGTTACTTTGGAGTATAGATACTTTATTACTAAGATTTAATAGTGACAAGAAGCATTAGAAACAACTATTTAAGAGAATACCAATTTATACTAATTCATTGGCTGTGTAGCAGAAAATCATGCTCCAATATGTTTATACTATCGGCGTGACTATAAGCGTAATATTAGAAATCATTTCGTTAAAAGTTTAACTTTCATAACTTGGTGAACACCAATATACACCTATTAGAATCTCCTCATATATATCATATCATTTAATCTTATTATAATTAGCAGGCGAATTCTACTACAATAGTGCATTTAATGAATTTCAAAATATTACACATAAACGCTATCATAACTTAACATAGATATATTTTTGTATCTAAAAACTTTACTCTAGGGTGATATTTAAATTTGCTTGAGGGAGGGTAGTTGGAAAAAAAGAAAAAAAAATGGAAGACCAGAGAGTAAGGCTGGTGTAGTGTTGACAGTGTTGCTATACTATAAGAAAATAATGTAAGAATCTTAAATATATTCTATATCTATGGCATGCATTTACTATCGATATAAAATATCTTCATTAAGTCAGTAGTCAACATTCATCTAAATTCTATAGAAAACAAACAAAAAAATCATCACAAAATATGACACAACAGCCAAGGCAGAACAGTTACCAATATCTACTATGACAAAAAGCAAATTTAAATATCAATATTATTATAAGCACTTGTTAGCAGGAGTCTAGGCCACATTTTATTATAATGATCTCGTTATAAAATTTCAACATCAGAACACACAACGTTAATATTAAATTGTAAAGGAGAGAAGTTCTCATGATTATTTACAGAAAAAATTGAAAATTACTCATTCTTTAATCTATTCACGTAAAAAAATAAACGTGTCGCGTTTCACTTCAAATGTCAGCTATAATTAATATATATATTATAATAATAATATAGCTTAAACATTCAATATGGTGCACCATAATTTAAATTTCTAATAATATTTCGCAATTCTCATCTCTTAAACTATTTAGTAGACAATTCATTACTTAATTCTACATTTACAGATACGATTGAATGTTACTGAGTAAATCGTTTATAATGACTCATCGACTTATTCGTAAGTCAACGATGAAAGCTAGCATTAACCACGGCTTATCAATATTTATTCATTTATTCGGTTTTATTCATCGCTCTGATGGGAAACAGGGCTGAGGGCGGGCAAGGAGCCACCTCCGGACTGTACGCTGATCCTCCTGTGTTCCGCCAAATAATTATTGACAAATATCCTGCGGCCGGCCAATATGTCCGCTTTTTGCTGCAAAACAATATACGCGGTGTAAGATACCGCGTGTAACCAAACTGCTCTATAGCCAATAACGTACGCGGCATTCCAAAACCAATGGTATTAGCATCTAACCGTCAGATATTTGGTTTTAGAATTCCATAACTACCAAGTGAGATTGAATAGCTTTAGAAAAAAATACTAAATGAAAATAAAACAATTTCATGATAGCAGTTTCGTTACTAATTAGGTGCCTATTAACTAGGATAGGGGCATTCACTAGCTCAGGGCGGGGGAAGTCGAGGGCATCCACTAGTAATGGAAAATATATATATAAATATTATTTGTTAAGAAAGAAAAAAATAATATATAACGTGTCTACAACTACTCAAAAGATCCGGTATGTGAGCCACGACGAACGAACATTACCTAACAGGTTAATTCAAATGAAATATCATTGTATTGGAATAAATACTTTTATTAATATGATACTTTAATATTAAATGGTCGTTTGTATGCCGGTTAAGTATGTAAGTGGTTTAACAATAGGTATATATGTAACTCAAATATAAAGAAATCAATGTTCAATAAGTACTTACACAACCGAGTCGACAATAAAACAAAACAAAATAAAAAATATATATACTACATACGGGCTTCGAAAATTATTTAAGTTTGTTTTTTTCATTTCCGTACACTTACTTCTACATAGTTTTGGTGTAACAGTGGAGATATTATAATATTTTTTTTTATATTTTTTTTAATATATCAGCTTACAAAACTAATATTAGAAGTTTGGTAGTATATCGTAGTTTTAGTAAATATATTGAACACTGCCGTTCTATGCGTATAACTTGTTAAGAGACTCCTTATAATATGTATATGAATTAAATAAAGCGAATAATATTATAAGTCACGCTACCAAACGTCTAATTTCATTAACAAAAAAAAAAGACAACTTGTGCATACTCACATCTGTATACATGCGAAATGCTGTAATATAAGCATGATCACACTTTAAATGCGAAGCGAAATTAATTAAGAGTTACAAATCAAAAGAAAAAAAAATTAAACAACAACATTTGTACCAAAATGAAAACAAAAAAAAACTTCGATAGATACTGTACTTACAATCTAAGACGGCGGCCATTTTGAAGACGTGCAAGTCACAAAATGCCGGCTAGCGTTACACCAGAGGTGTCGGTCTGTTAGCCTAGAGCGATAGTGTTTATAACGTACGTTAAGCTTGTACCGTCTCGGGACAACGTGTTCCAACGTGCAACATGCCACTAATTACAACTGAATTCACCTACTTTTCAGTTATCTGCTTGGCAGTCGCTCGACTCGACTCAGACCTAAACTTACCGTTAACATCTGAAATAGAGCGATCTTTCTAAAGCCCCCACCATACAAACACTAATCAATGAAAATACTATGGAATTTGCTTGAAAATTTATTGAATGTAAATAATTTCCGTAACATTAGCATTATAATACGTCCTATAGATGTAGTATAGTCTTTGTATCGCTCGCTACACGATATGCTAGACGATGTGTCTCATTCATAACAAACTTCAGGTAGGATATACCTTCATAATAGAGCTATTCAGATAATAGTGTCCTTTCTATAAGTAAAATCTGGATAAAATAACGTATCTATATAATAATTGTAGATCTAATTGTATCCCAGTTTTAGGCAGAAACGGGGTAAAAGTGGTCCCAAAATTTACTATGAAACAAAACATCAAAGTACACCGGCACATCGTACATCCTAAACACAGAAAGCTACTGAGAATTATATAAAGTATTAGTTACGAAGATAAAATATTTAAAAGAGTCGTAGATTTAAATTACAATATTCAAAGGAGATATCTCAAATGTTTCACAACAGCTATACAAAATATCACTGCACCGATATACATACAAATACGTTCGAAAAATTACAAACCTATTTACATATGGTACGTTGGTAGGTCGGGTTGCAGTGTGGGAAAGTCGATCGACGGTCGACACGGACCCCGGCTCAAATAACGATATCATTACACACTAAAACATTCGCCGAACTATTGAAACTTTAACATTAAGAAATTCAACAGGTTTCCATATTCAATCGAAGTCGTAGAGATGCGCTCTGGCGCGGTAACAGGCACAAATCGGTCTAGGAGCCTAACGTCGGGCCTATCTATATATAGTTTTATTGCTATCGACTACCTAGATCTAATAAAACATTTTAACACTTAATAAAACCTTAGCCGCTATGAAGGATGCGTCCGGAGCACGCATGCTATAAGTTACGCGAGGCCGCGACGGAGGTTTCGGGCGACGTAGTAACGTTAAGTACGGGCGCGTCGCAAAACAAACAAAAGCGTAAGGGGAGTGGTGTGTTCGTTCGTCGGTGTGGGTGTGCGTTAGAATATGGTGGTCTCGGTGCGTGGCGCCGGCGCGGCGTCGTCGTCGATGTACGCGATGTCCTGGAGGGGCGCGCGCAGCCGCGAGCGGAGCCCGGCGGCCGAGTGGGCCGACAGGCGCTCCTCCAGGTCTTCCAGCGTCGACTTGAACGCGCGCACCACGCGCAGCTGCAAGCAACACAACCCGTGACGCCCGCTACCCCCTACACCTACACCCTCGCCTACAGACCGAGCCACCGATACGACCTACGAGTGTGGTGTGGATTGACTCTGTACGGACCGTCGGACGGAGTGCGCGACCGCTCTAGTGTACGTGAGCCGCGGAGTACGGGCGGATCACCGGTGCCTGGTGGCCATGCACACAGCTAAAACAAAATGTACTAAGTGATAGCGAACGCTGGGAGATCCGGGTGGGCCTCGATGATGGGAAGAACTCTACGTGACATTAAAAAAAGCGAGGACAGGGAGTGCTCGGAGGATCCAAGTGTCGACAGCGAGTGACAGGGTGGCGGGCGATAGTGCCAGATGAGGGACGACATCTACAGCCAGAGACGTGGAGATGAAAACAGACAAACAGAACTATTGGATTGATCACGATGAGTCGCCAGCACTGACACTCCAGTTACACAATGTATGGCTGGAACCGTTCGGACTGCCGATTATATACCAAAAAAAATAGTGATGAAACCAATAAAATAAGACGTGGAGGATCAAAAGCAGAGTGCTAGTGACGGACGACTCGTCGCTCACGTGTCGTGTGGGAGAGCTAGTCACTAGGCGCTAGGCGCCAGTCGCTAGTCGCTAGGGCTAGGGCTAGGGGGAGTGTACCGTGAGCGTCCGTCGCACGCAGCGCGCCGTCAGCCGCCGCGGCCGCCACTACACCTCCGTCTCCAACACCGGCCGGGGCTGCCAACAACATCTCTCTACGACGCGCGGCTCGCCCCATTCGACACCGTCCTATTTGCCACGCAGCCCTAGCTTTACAACCGCTCCACCCAGATATGGGACTGTCTATAGTCTATGCTAATGATATTTCCATCGTTTGCCATTGACCTTGTTCGTCCGACGTCATGGAACTTTAATTCGTAGATATTTTTAAAGATTATGAACTGAAGATTAAGTGAGTCAAGTAGTGCTGTTGTGGAAGAACATTTGTTAACAATTTAGGGATGCAGCGAATCAACTTAGACTCAAGGTCAATTGTTAGCAAACAGAGGTCATTTTTAAAGTGCAGAATGGATAAATTATCTACAATGAAAACATCAAGTAACATCTAAAACAAATTTTAAAAAATTCTGATAATATAAAATAATATTACTAAAATTCGACAAAAACTAATCCAATATAGAATAGTGCAAAATTCCATAAATTATACGTACAAAAAATGCAAACTAAAAAAAATGACGTCGGGACGATCAGATCAAAGTCATTCAAATAAAATAGTCTTTAAAAAACATATCCCCATATCTGTCGTAGCTACAAGCAGGCCAACACGGAAAAACGACCCTTGATATAGTATACATAGAGTAAAATTTTAAATAATAGGTGTCTGTACATGAAAGGTATGGGACTTAATCGAGTGTTGTTTGACGATGAACATTAAAGATTCAGAACCGGATATTCACAGTTCAAATAAAAAGTATCGCATGGATTTAAAAGGCCAGGGCATTTAGCGGTAAAATGTGTCACAGATAACATTTAATAATAATTAAAAAAATAATAATATATAGTCATGCACGCGAAAGAAAACCATTTGGTAGCCGTTGAAAGGAATAGAAATGTGTTGGTGTTTCATGAGCATGTATGCGGCCTGGGCCAGTGTCCTTAGATTTGAAGTGCCAAATCAAACGAAAAAAAAATCATAAACCAAATAAAAACACAATAATGAGGAACTGGAAGATTTATAGGAGTCGATTCGAGGCCTCAACTACCCTGAAGTTGATCTACACATAAGCCTAGACAACGCTGGGAAGACACCTATAATGCTTGGACAAGGGTACTAACAAATCACCGTAATCTCATTTTTAACGTCACATGTACACTTTACTTTGCTCTTTTTTATGTTTATTTATTTTAAACTAATCCAAATTCCATACGCCCTCTATGGTGGTGGCTCGCATTTATATCTCGTACGTGATTAGTATGGATTTTTAACACACTTAACCTCTAGCATGCCATTTTAGTCTTAACATCCAATTCCGGAGCCAAGGAGGAACATTTACTTGCCTACGTTATTTAGCTAACATCGATTTTATAATTGTGTATCACCAAAATATACCAATTAGTTGAATGATATATAATATCTATAGAGTATTTTGGCACACAATTTTAATACCGAAACATGTATTAGGAAGCTTCACAACTCACTGTTTTTTTTTTAGTATATATCATTTGTTTACTGGAACGTGTTATTTTCTACATGTTACTTACCAAACATCAGCCACCGCTCGTTCTGTACACGGACATATATAATATAAGGACACTACAAGAAGCCTAACAAAATACGCAAAAATAATCACAATGAAGGCAATCCAACGGCAAGCATTCACTACACATCCGTCGCCCAGTGTGACGCTTACACCCCCACGCCAACAACATTCACAAACAGAACAAAACCAGAAAAAAAACACAAAAAATACAAAAAAACAAAAACAAAAAAAACAAAACACAAAAACATTGACATTACAACGGCAAAGGATAGACGGGTTCCGATTGTCATGTTAGTAGAGCAATCACGTCATGCTCATAAAAATAAATATCTCAAGAAAATTCCACTCCACACTCAGTAGTCTATAGCAGTAACTGAACACAATCCGGTACAAAAATAATACATTGAAAATAATATAATGTTACTGCTGATATCGGTAACGTAGGTTAGTGAGTCGTTTACGGAAACGACGCTCTCATTATAGCTGGGTTGCTTGGATCAGTAGCGAGGATGTAACGGGTTGGCGTTCCACAAGCAACAGAAAAAAAAAACACTATTTGTAACGTAATACCAATAAATAAAACAGACAAATCATATTATATCAAATAAAAAACAAAATTAAAAAAAAATAGATAACAGAAAATCAAACAGTCAGTATGACTAACAAAAAAAGATAGAGAAAAAATAGATGTTACATAGTCATTGACTGTATTAATGTAGTGATCGGGATAGTCATAGTAACTGTTTGAGAATTCGTATATGAGGGATAAGTACGTCACAGTCTACATATGCATGCCATGGTGGGGGGAGGGGGGTAATTAGGGTAATAAATAGTTGGGAAGCGTCAGACTGTATATCGGTTGCATGCATGGCCGTTATAACGATGTATCTATCCTCGGTATTACGACATCCTTGGAAGAAGTCAAGAGGGCAAAGCTGAAGTTAGACCAGATAGAAGGATGTCATGAAACCAAGTGAATTAAGTTTTAGAAAAGATTAAAAAAAAATACTAAACAGTATTGCTCGGTTGCCAATTTTTTTCTGACTGACTTAATAAACTATTTATATATGTAAATTAAAAAAACTAAATTAGCAAACGGACAATATATCACTACGTTATGGGCCAAATAAAATAGCATCTACTCATTACATCTGTAAAGTGTTTCTCTGTGTAGGTTCGGAAAAATAACTATCGAATCAGAACAGAAGTATAGGAGAAATAAAACAAGATTTGAACGGAAAACTATTACAAATAAAAAATTAAATAATAAATAAAAACAAATAAATAAACATACTATATATGAAATAACATCTCAAGTCTGATTTATAAATCGCATTAATTTGTGTAACTTTTTAACAGACGAACTGTGAGTGGTCCGTAGTTCCGATGTGTCATGAATAACCTCTCACGATAACTATATGAATGCATAGTATTGGTAATGGTGGTTTTATATGCAAAAATAGTAAAAAATTATAATGGACAATATCGACTTAGCGTTGGATGCCCAAGGTATCCGCTTGTTGACCTGTTGGTACTGTATTTCTGTAACCTAAAACTTATCCCTCTCTCATATAAACACGAACAATCTTCCAATCCTATTATATGTATATTAATATAATACTGTATACAGGTCACTGTGTTAAAGTGAACTCTATACAGTTGTCTTAGAGTCCATCATGACATACTCACTTCTCATGATGGCATCTGTGACAATTCGTGGCCATTACTTGGTACATTAATTAAAAATTAAATTTTAATGATATATTAAAATCTTTAAATAAAACAAGAGATATCAACTGTCAAATGATGGCCAGTATCATTATTAAAAATATCAGCAAAATTTTGTTTTTAATTTTATAAGACCCTTTAGAATCGCGGTAATTCCAAACATATAATAAAGCCCAATTTGGACAACGTGAACCACATGTAACCCGGTCTCTGAGACCACATGTAGCCCGGTCTGTGGGACCGCACGGAGCCCGGTCTGTGAGACCGAGCTGTCGTCGGTCCGCGAGACCGGTGAAGCCCCTCAAAGCCAGCCGTGTACATACCTGCGTCTGCAGGCGCGTGAGACCCCTTATCCACAATATCTGCCCGGCGCGAGGCTTCTTGTCGAGGTCGGAGTCGTAGTCGGGACCTGTGGGCAGCGTCTCCGCGTCCGGTTGTCCGCGGCCCCAGCTGGGAATGAACGAACGAACATCTTATACTCATTCACTCACACAAGTCAAGTGTGAAGGTAACCGAAATATGAGATCTGAATTGGGAAGGACATAAGTGGCACGTATGTGAATGGAAATAGGATTCTATACTATACTATAGGAGACAACGAGATTTTCGTTATAAAGAAGCATTATGTTTGTATTACTGATAGATACGTTTGCTAAGGTTCCAATTTCACCGTTTCCCTATTTAGTTATAACTGCCACATAGACACGGGCATTGTACGAAATCAAAAAGTATATTTCTATATCCTTTAAGTACCAAAATTTTCTTTGGGACTTATCTTAATGATGAAATCATCCTTAAGTTAACAAATAATGGCTACTTACATAGTTCCTCTCATTTTAACGTTATTCGGGACGGTAATTGGTAAGGAACTTGGTCTTGTTGTGGGAACGGTTTGATGGGAAACATTGCGTTTCAAGCAATGGCACCTTCGCATTGTTAGTATCAGTAATATTAAAAAAAAATAATAATTAATTTAATTTGATGGGCCTATTAAGTGATTTTTGCTGTAAATATCTATTATATATGGATATGTGTTACTTACGATAGTTTCTTGGGTATCTTCCTTGTAGGTATGGTAGTGACGAGTTGTGCCCATACAAGTGTACCAGCTCCAAAGAACAAACACCACAACCACTGATCTATCGTGAGACCAGCTGTACTGAAGGCCATGCCGCCGAATTGAATGATGACAACCTTCAGAAACATATGGTACATTAAAAAAGGAATTAATTATCTCCATTAATTGTTAAGTTTGATGTCATTAACTATATAAATTGCAATTTAAATAGTATAAAATGAAAAATTCATTGACATGAGCAAGATTTGAACCTGTTAAATCACAAATATCGCGTTACATTTGCTTGTTTTCTATACAAATTATAGTTTTATTAGAGTTAAAATATCTAGATAGAATCATCTACATCTATCTATCTTTCTATATTCTGTTGGATAAGTACCTGTAGACTATACTTGTCCTTCAAAATTTCAAATAATAATATGACAAAAACTTTTATTTAAGGCCTAAAACTCGTAATATATTTTTGTTGATACTGACCTGTGATAGCGCGGTCCCTATCCATATAGAATAGAAGATCGGGTTGGTGAATAGTCCCTGGAACACGTTCCGTTGTCCGTGTATCTTGCGCGCGTTGATCTCGTTGAACAGAGTCATCATGACGAACGTGTTGAAGATGATCGTGAAGTGGGCGGACGGCTCGGCGCCTAGCTGCTGGCCGCGACCGGACGGGATGTTGAGGAGACGGTCGCCTTGAACATATTAAATTATTACTTATAACTTATATATATTATATAAATATTTTAAAGCCAACCCCAATTGAAATGGGAAAAGGCTAGGCAGAGAGAGAGAGAGAGAAGACATTATAAATGTTCTATTTCTTCTGTATAATTATCCTAAATAAAAATCCACGTTAAGTAGAAGATATAAAATGATTTTATTTGTATGTGTACAGATATACTGATTCAGAATGTAATATATAAAGTTATGAGTGATAAATTCTGTTTGTAAAAACATTAGTGACAAGGAAATCATATAAATTAACTAGTTACACCATAAGATATAGCTTATGATATAATAATTCTATATATGTATATTATATGTACTTAATTTTTTAATATTATTGTTTTTGATATAATACTGATATAAATTTTCCTTTTGTGTGTACGTATAATGTATGATTTTGTTCAAACACCATAAATTATTTTGGCTTAAATAATAGCTATTTATTACAGGTTGATAATATTTGACTCTCTTTTTACCTAATTCTAGGTTAAAGCTTTATATTGGATTATATTTCATAACAACTCACCCACGAATAACAGTGTAAATATAATGAACAGCTGATACACTGCTTGCCCGAGTATGTTCTTCATCATTGTTCTGCTAATGAGGGGTTTGGTTCGTCCGTAAGGCTTCCTTTGCAGTAAGTCAGGGGTAGGTAACTCAGTAGCCAAAGCCAGGGACGCTAACGTGTCCATGATCAAATTCACCCATAACATTTGGACAGCCTGAAATAATAATATAAAATTAGTGTTAACATATACTAAAATTATATTAAAGTTTATTTAATAAGATTTTATCATCAGGGATGGTTTAAATCCGTTTAACTATTGGATAAATCCACGTATCTGCATTGGAAGCATTATAATAAGAAAGTTTAAGCTGAATTAATTTCTATATAAACGACTTTTAAGGTATTTTTTTTTCACAATTGGATTGGATTGGATGGTAATTACGCGGATTAGCACTATTCCCGACTATATGACTTTATTTTCTTCTATATAAAAAAAAGTCTTATTAAGATGTTATCTTCTATTACTGAATTTAAATAACCTGTTGATATTGAGTATTTTGTGAATAATGACACAGCTTCTTAATTTATTTGGTAATATATCATCTATATAGAGATTATATCAAAATTTTTGTAAAGCATTCACTATGGGTCTAGTGGCAAAAAAACAACTTTTTGATATTTTCTAACACATTACATTGTGATTTTGTATATTGGATCTTAAGATTTCTTCTTTAATGTTTATATAATTATCACTTGAATTCAACAGGTAGTTTTATTTTTCTTTTTGTGTGATTGTTGTGTATACAGATATACACTCACTTATATCAGGTCCTAGATTTTATCTATTTTATCTGTTGTTTATGTGTGCTGAATGTGTGATGTTGATGTACCTTTTAAATAAATAAATTACCTTAAGAGGGCTGTCCTGAATAGCGCAGGCTCCTATGAACGCAACAATTACGGCAACGACATTAACAGTCAATTGGAATTGCAAGAATTTAGCGATGGAGTCATACACGTTACGTCCCCACATCACAGCCTTCACGATAGATGAGAAGTTGTCGTCTGTTAGGATGATATCCGACGCTTCTTTAGCGACGTCCGTACCAGCGATACCCTGGAGATTATATTGTATGTGAAGCACCCGCCATCATTGTGTAAACAGGAATGGCGGGTAAAAAATTACAGGTTTAAAATTAACTTACTAAGGGACTTATAATAATGATAGCAAGCAAATTATGATATGCAAATGAGTATTAAATGAAAAATTATTTTAAATTTTTTTGGGAGTCTAATTATTCAACGGAAAAACACAAATTAATGATAATTTTGATATGCAAATGGGTATTAAATGAAAAATAATTTCGATTTTTTTGGGCGTCTAATTATTCAACGAAAAAGAAATGATAGACAAATGAAATAATTACAGCGATTATGATCTCAATGTCTCACAATATAAAGTCTAAATATCCTTACCATAGCAAACCCAACATCAGCCTTCTTCAAAGCAGGTCCGTCGTTAGTTCCGTCTCCTGTCACAGCCACTACTTCCCGTGTGTCGAAAGCCTTAGATTCTATCATTCCTTTGACCAGTGTGTATTTATCTGTTGGGGACGAACGAGCCAACACGCGAAGCTTCGGCCATACTTTGTCGACTAAGTGTTGTTGGACCTGAAAATTTAATTCATTATCTATAGTGATTATTTTGAATACAATAAAGGCGAAGTTTTCTTTATACTCCGTATATAATATTTACTTCAACACATTTTATATGATAATAAACAATGAACTAAATTCCTACGACAGATTTCAGTATATAAATAGTTTGCTAACCAAAATAAATCTTCAACAAAAAATACCAAATAGAATTCCAGGGATAATTCCACAATATTTTTTTAAGCCTATATGTTAGAAAAATCTCTGGAATATATGAATTAATATTATATTATATATAAATAAACAATAATAACCTCTCCATTAGCATCTCTGATCCGCCTGTTGAATTCCTTGCCCTCTAGTATGAGGAAGTCGTCCGTGGGTTTCAATATTCCACATTTAATGGCTATAGACCTAGCGGTATTCACATTATCACCGGTAACCATTCTTACAGTGATACCAGCTTTCTGACACTTCTTGATAGCTTCGGGTACCTTAATATTAAAATAAAAAATATTTTTCATATATATATATATATACATATTATGAATGTTTTATCGCTATTAATGAAGTAAGTTTAGAAATATGTTGATATATAAGCTGATTTGAACGAACGAATGCAGCGCCAAAATAACTGATTTTTTTTTCATTTCTGTAACAGAACTAAAAATCTAGTAATGTCATTGAACTAGATTTCAAAGAATCTTATTTATTTTTATTTTTTCTAATAGGTTTTGTTCATAGTGATTTTGATTCTCACCTCTGGTCTCACAGGATCTTCAATACCGACTACACAGAGACAGGTCAAGTTGTTAACGATGTTATCTTCATCATCCCAGTTAGGCTCTTGGTCTATGTGCACCTAAAAATATAATACAGTAATATATAGCTCTTGGACTAAATATTTATAGTTTCGTCCATATAATTTTTTTGAGAAGTTATTAAGTATTAAATGTTCATCACATTTTTTCTTTGAGAATAATCCAATCGAAGTAAATCTACCATTCCTAATTATTAAAAACAATTATTTAAGCAATGTAGACCTTATATTTGTAGGCTCATACGTGTATTAAAATTCAAATAGAAAATATATCATGAAAATTGCTCTATGCAAGTAGGATTCGAATTTGCTATCTCCGGAATATTTCGTTTTAAATTTTTTGCCAATTTAGCTACAGCACTAGATTCGAGTTGTTGAATTAAACATTCTATATTTGACCATAATATTTAGGAGGTATCACCTATTATTAGATCCTAACTATCTAGCTAACTAACTCCTACCTGGTTAATGTCAGCTTTTCCTGGAACAAAGTCTCTGTATGCGACGGAGATCGTACGTAGACCGTCACACGCCATGGGTTCAATGACCTGTCTCACCAAACGGTCCTGCATATCGCGGGTGAACTTTTCAAGTCTACCTTCATGACCATAGATGAATGAACATCTGTGAAAACATATATTTATATTAATAATATTGCTCATCTTATATGGGAATATATGAAATTTTCAGTAGTGTGTTTTCAGGGTTGGTTCCACTTTAGTTCATTGATTATGATAATGACTTACTTCTTTAAAACGATTTCCGAAGCACCCTTAGTGTACAATCTGTAACCTCCCTTGTAGGGTATGACAGTGGACATGCTCTTGCGAACGGAATTGAAGGTGTATACTCTTGTAAAGGATTCTTCTGGGTGTCTCTCCCTTACGGTTTCGTAGCTCTGACCAAGTCCCACGACGAAACCCAATAAAGCGCATTCAGTTTTATTACCGACTTGAGTTGGTGGACCGCCCGGCTCTAAGGATGGCTGGAAGATCATTTATATTAATATTTTAATACAAATAGAAAACATACTATTGCACAAGTACATATACTCACAAGTACTCTAGAAGTGAAAGCGCTATTAACAGATATCCCTTCTATCATAGTTTCGGCGACGTCTTGCGGTATATCTCTATAATTCGGCGTAACCTTGCATAACTTTTCACATATATACGATTGTACGACTGTCATACGGTTTGTGGTTAATGTACCAGTCTTATCGGAACAAATGGCAGTGGCGTTACCCATTGTCTCACAGGCGTCTAAATGACGGACCAAGTTGTTGTCTTTCATCATTTTCTAGGAAAAAAAAATTACAAGGTTTTATATAGATATATATCAGAACTAGGATATAGCTTATTTTTATGTACCTCATAAGAAGGGTAAGTATATATTTTTTTCAAATTTTTGTGAAACAAGAAAAATTTAAATCTAGCTCAGGTCGACATTATTACGACTTTGTATTTAAAAAAACAAATATCTCAGGCGTTTATTTTTATTACAATAAAGATTTCTCTGTGATAGTTTTTTGTGGTAACTTTTTATTATTCGACCCAAATTTCGCTAAAATTATGGGTTGAAAAAAATATTGAACGTGCCTTATAAAAATTTAGATTCAATCTAAAAGAGACGATGAATATTCGCAAACAAATATACGAAAGTTATTATCAATATATTATTAGACTTATTGGTTGTGTATTATAATTACCTTAACGGAATAAGCTAGCGATAGAGTGACGGCTAACGGCAACCCTTCAGGCACGGCAACCACAAGTACAGTGACACCAATAATAAGATGTTTAACCAGGTTGTTGATGTATGTAGCCTTCCACTCCCTGCCTTCTATCACAAACGTCTGGACACAGAACTGAATCACTAGAATGATCACGGTCAGCACGGCTATCGTTGAACCCGCGTAACCAATCTGGAAAATTTGTTATATACTGTTAACTTTTTTTGGTAATGATATATTTAGTTGTATAAATTACACAAACATATTTGCCATATCAATATTATGGATTCCCAAAAAAAGAATTAAATTTTAACGCTAATCCAAAATTTGGGCCCAGAAAAAATAATCTTCCAAATAATTATTTCTTTAAGTCCTAATTGATGTTGAATTCTAAGTTTCTTTATAATATTTTCATACCTGGATCGCGAGTTTGGTTAGTTTAGCTTGCAGTACAGACTTCTCCTTTTTGTGGCTGCTCTCGGGGGCTGGTTTATCAGCGGGCGGCACGTGGTTGTCGTCAACCCTCGCGTGGTTGTGGCTATTACCTGATGCCGGTTCTTCATCCCCTAATTGTCGTGAAACTTTTTTTACTGTATTTACACCAAGATTGCTACCGTTTGGTATATTTTTTTATTATCTTGTATTGTATAATCGTTAGCAATGTGCAATAAAATAGTTATTTTATATAGCAGAATTGAATATTAAGAAGCGTTGTGTCGGTTAGAATGCCAATTAAAAATAGATCAGTTTAGCACAGACAAAATATATTATTTGGATACCAAACAATAACAAAAATTACGTTTCACAAAATATTAAGGCTTTATCTTGTTAAAACTGTATATAACATGCGGACTAGCTACTATGCAAGTACTGATCAATGCAGTGTAAGAAAAGTATGGAATGTAGAAATAATTTAATTATTTGAACTGTGCTGTAAGGAAACTAAATCAGTCAAGGTAAAAGCATGTCACAGCATTGGAAGTCTTACCTGGAATACTCTTGCGAGGTTCTTTCCTTTGTTGTTTTTTAGACTCTATCGGTACCAATTTCGTTATCCAAATAAGCATACACATTTACAACGACATGTATACATCATGCAATCACGATGGATAAATGTGTACGTTTGTTTTCATCGGGGGTGCGGCGGGCCGGTTTTTGGGGGAGGGGAGAAAAAAAAATTTTCATTTCAGGTGGAACTAAATCTATGAGCATTTGTATGGTGTGTGTCAAATGCTCTAGCGTGTATGGTTTATGGCTGATATGAGATTATTTTATACAATGGGATCGGACTAGGGCGTTCTTACCATGCTACAAGCTATTAGTTACAACCAACATACATACAATACTTGTACCGTTTATAGTACTAAAATTTTGGAATAAAATAATCTCATGTCAGATACTGAGATGATTAATTCCTTAATAAAATGGTTCTTTAACATCACCACATCTTTAATCTATAGCAGTGCTTGGGATTAACATGTCCTGTGATACTATATGGGCACTACTTTCTTTATAAACTCATTTATATCCAAATAAAGCATACCTACAATGCTCATTTAGATTAAACTATTTCACTAAACTCTATTTATATTGTATTAAAGTCTATTATGCTTAAGCAGGTAGATGAACTAACGCTTCAAGCTATGACTAAATGAGCAATGTTTTGATAGTACAATATTTTACCGGATATATGGTTATGATATTTTAGGCTATACTCAGACATTACTATATATTTTTGTAGCATAACTAAATAGAACTAATTTATTTAATATTGAAACTTTAATTTAGGACTTTTTCTCACTTATTCGTATATTTTCTCAACTTGAATTAATTTTATTTCACATGTACCCTTGTACCCTATGTCAAACGTACTCTATTTCATATGTACCCTAGCCACATACATACATCCTCCTATCACCCTGTCCACTGACCTTTCTTCTGTTGTTTCTCCTTCGTCTCAGCTGCGCCAAGGAGCGTCAAGATGATACCAGCTTGGGAGTTCACACCAACCGCTGTCACTAACATCTTACCGGAGCCTGGAGAGGTCAAGGTCAAGGGTCAAGAATTTCATCCTACTAATATTATAATTGCGAAAGTTTGTGAGTGTGTGTTTGTTACTTCTTCACGCTCAAACGGCTGAACCGATTTTGATAAAATTTTGTATACAGCAAGCTGACGTCCAGGAATAACACGTAGGCTACTTTACATTCCGGAAATCGGCGGGTAACACCGCGGGGCGCAGCTAGTATTTAATAATTTGTCTCGAGAAGGTCATGTTATACAGGGTGACTAGAGAATTACTACTGATACTTGAGGACGTGATATTTGACGATCATATATGAGAAAATAAAAATTAATATAACATAAATATTAATAAACTTCTAAGTAAAGTTAACCAAAAGTTATGTAATTAATTACGCATCGTGTGAACACCCTACAGATTAGGTATACACACACGCGTGCGGCGGCGTGGTGATGTATCAGCACGCTGCTGCACGCGTCCACACTTGGAACACTTGGAACGTGTCCACACTTTATTTATTTATACGGAAATTTGGTCAAAAATTAAGTACCTATTTTTTTTACATAATTCGAAAGAGAATCATGTACCGAGTATTCTCCTTAAATATTGATAGTAATTCACCAGTCACCCTGTATATACGGTGTATGTGTGTGTTTTTGTGAGTCTCACCTTCCATAACGTGTGTACCAGATAGCACCATGGGATCAAAAGATTCTCCCTTCTTAACATGGTCCGATTCACCCGTCAGAGATGACTCGTCGATCTAAAACATGAAAACATTCTACAAACACGAAGTCATGAAATTTTATAATCATCTACAGAAAGATTCGAAAAACTCAATATAGAAACATGATACTGAGATTCATTCTAAAATAGAACTTATATTTCTAAATGAAAAACATGTTCGTGATCATTAAATGTAATTGTAATATTTATTCTTTTATAGATTTGATAAATTACTATGATAAAATATATAGTTTCGAACATTACATAAAAATGCACCATTTACGTAAACGTTATCAAATCAGTATTATCATTACGCATTCTTATCAGATGAGTTGAAATTGACGCGGGCGTATTGGTGCAGTGATAAAACTGTTGACTCGTTCATAATTGATGATATTATGTAACATTGAAACAAAAATTTATTTATTTATATAAATTTTGAAATGATTTAAAAACCATTATATAATGATCTATGTATTGAATGATTGGATTCAAATATAGACTCTACATATATATCCCTTTTATAGTAGGCCTTCAACTTTAACCAAGGCCTCATTTGTCAGTAAGCTCAGGGTTAAGTTGTTTGTATCGAGCGTTCGATCTGTTGATAACCCAATAACCTGATTATCAGTTATTACAAAGATTACTGAAACCTTATCGTGTCCTTTATCTAGGGGACGTGACGATAAAGGCCTCGAGCATTGAATTAACCAACTGTATCTAAACGTGTTACTGACTTCGAACATACGATATTGTAAGCGATGATATTATTACAACTGAAATACTATTTAATTGGTAATCAATGGTAATCATGCAAATCAAACGAATATTTTTCGGATTATTAAGCGTATTTTTTTATTAAAAAAAACTACATACTTCTGAGTTTTGGTTACTTTGCAGCAACCGTGATCACGGTTACTTTCATTAAAATGAATACTTGCGATAGTCTTAGATTTTATAAGTGGTAATCATAGGTAATCATTGTATTACCTTCAGGTCGTTACTCTGCAGCAGTACACCGTCAGTGGGCAGCAGGTCACCGTACTTGATCTGACATATATCGCCCACAACGATCTCACTTATCGGCACCTGATTCACCTCACCTCCGCGTATCACAGCAAACTTATGTTCACCTTCTATCCTTGACTGTAGCCCTCTGGAAGAATAATTTCTTCCTTAATACGCCCCTCATAGACTTATATATTATGTATGGAGCGTAGACTTACCTGAATTGCCTTTCTTTCGTGTAATCATTGAACGCGGTGACTATAACGACAACTATGACAGATATTAAAATAGCCAGACCCTCGATCCATTGGTAATGTCCTTCTTCTTCGTCCAGATGTGCTGAAAAAATTTATTCGATATTATCAAATAGTCAATTTTAGACGTTATTTCAATGCTTTTAGGTTTTAAATTTAATTATTTGTGTCTATAATGTTCTGTTCATATTTTATTTTGTTCATTTTTATATGAGCAAATCCTCATACTATCTACACACATCACACATAAAAAGCGTCTAGCGGGTAAGGAGATTTATAAAACAAATATATATATGAACAAAATATATTCGTATTAAATTAATATATGTAGGAAATTATAAGTGATTTAAATAAAAAAATTAATGCATAATGCGGACCATTCAATGCGAGTGATGTTCCGACATAATCAAACATATATTTATTTATATTAAAAATTTTATTTATTTAACGATGAAACTAGAAAATAATTATATTAAAATCCCTCTATTTTTATTCGAAATTGTAAGTGGAATTATATTGATTAACAATTACTCATAAATGATTAATTACACTCAAGATTCACAATTGAACTTATTGTTTCAATTATAGATAATAATAGCAAACATTTTATAAAGTACAAGAAATTATTGCATTTATATACAGCGTTTTAATCTAAGAAGCGTTAAAATATACATATATATTTACAATTACAAAACTTTCTGTAACTGTACGTGTTTGTTTGTTCTTAAAAGTCACGTACATTATTATCTATAACGTCCCTGTGTTATATTAGAAATAGGATAGGACAGAGCCGGGGTGAAACTACTAGTGAAAAACTATGGAAGCAAAACAATCATAACATGCCCTGTACCATGATAACACGAATTGATATCGTTTGTGTAACGAATTCGATATCATGGTAGGAAGATATAGGATTAGAAGAGGATTTACAATTCAGACACTACAACTTAAAAATCACACTTTAAAATCATTTCATATATATACTATATATATAATATATATATTTGGTCACACTATAAAACGAGCAAGTGCAGGTATCACATTTATCATTATTTAGATCTGATATTCTTACCAGGGTCGTCTAATGTATCCATTTAGTTATTGGAAAGAGAAAATACATACATTAATTATGGTCAATTATACAATGTGATTCCGATCTATTTACCTGATGAACTGTTAGGTATATAATGTACAAGATATGTTTATATACATGTATATTGGTCCAGCCTAATATCCTGTTGTTTCGGCGACGACCAATGAAAGTAGATATTTGTTTGAGACGCGGGCGTGGGAAGTAATTTTTTTAACTCTTTCGAATGACAGAATTTATTTCATATATAATATTTGTACATCCATATTAAGCTGACGTAACATATAGTGTTATTTACAATATAATTAGTATATTTGATAGTAATTAACTCACCAATATCGCTGGCGTCTTCGGACGGTTTGTAAAAACTCAAGCCAAGGGAAACAACAGCGGCCACTTCCAATATGATGAGCGTGACGTCCTGCAGAGCCTCCCATACCAGTGTTAGGAAGGTCTTCGGAGGCTTCGGAGGGATGAGGTTGGAACCGAACACTTCTCGCCTATGCTGCAGGTCAGCTTTCGAACCGCTAAGACCTGGTACAAACAAAACCATCAATATGAATTCATACCATAATATTTTCTTATAATTAGTTGTATGGAAATCATAATTAATGATTTTTGCATTCTATCCAAAATCATGTTTAGATTTAGAAGTAAGCATAAAGAATTATGTATATTTTATTTATATCTTATTAAAGTTCAATTGTCTGAAATGGTTTTCGTAAATTTAACAATTTAATACGAAATAACATACTATGTCACTGTTTCAAAAAATAATAATGTTTTATTTGCGAAAACTACATGCAAAATATATGAAATCTAGACTAGTCTGTGTACCGATATTGGCTTGTAAAATTAAAATATTTCATGTAAGCTATCAAAAAATCTCTACAAATACTTATAAAGCATCGTATTTTTAAGCTTAGATTATCTTTCATAATAGAAGTGACCATTGAACGGTCGATACTCGACTATAATTAATTGATTATGTCAAGTTCAATACTAGAACAGAAATGTCATTATGTTTGACATTTAGTGACATTACACACATTGATAGATCATGAAGTACTGACGTATTATGTGTGTGTGTGTGTGTGTGTGTTACATTCATGTGTATGTGTGTGTGTGTGTGTGTGTGTGTGTGTGTGTGTGTGTATTATATTTCTTCTATATTTTGTAATAAGATATCAATGATTGAAAATTTTCATTTCAAGTGTTAATATTATGATAAAAAATTACATACAAAATAATAATCGTTAGTCTGTTACGAGATAAAACAAAACGCGAAGCTCGTACGGATGAGTAATACCATTTCAATGGTTCCCAGTTTTACGATTATAGATTTATTTCCGTATATCCGGTATTGAGTTCACACTGGATATATCTGTTGTTGACATATAAATTATAATTCATAACTATTTATTTGAGTACATAATAAATTTGATTTGAAACACATTTGTTTGGGTATATTTATTATATTTATGTCTGATATGTTTTTATATACATGGAATTTGATTTATAATATAATGAAGAAAAATATTTAATTTTGTACTCGTTTTTTTAAATATATTTCTTGCTATCGACTAAGAACAGAATTGTGAACATTTTTGCTTAAAAAATGCATAAAAATACTTTATTAAAACAATAGAAAAATTATATCGTAACCGACATACAAACTATGTTTAGCAATATTTTATATAAATATAATATTTTCCCCATAAAATTAAAACCGCATTGGTAACTTTCTTAATATCCTTAATCGTAGTACATCAATGTTACAGAACAACTCTCCCAGGGCTGGTACAGAATTATTTAATCATTAGCGTGTGTAAACGATCGTTTGAGGACAAATATTTGGCTTTATACCAAGTCAATACACAAAACACTAGCGTCACTAGCTGATAGACGAAAAATATATACATTAATATTTTAATATTTGATATTATACATTCAATCTAGACTTATATTTTTCGGATATACTACGCGACTTTATTTTTGTAAGAAACTACATACTCCCGACGTTTCGGTTACTTTTCAGCAACCGTGATCACGGGCAGACGAGATGTGAATGTCTGTCAGTTGGTCTTATTATTCATCTACCGACATCGATTTCTTTATTTTCTTAGATAGATAGATTCTTAGATAAAAGATAAGAACAAATTAGACTACGATTACTTTTGAATTTAGTTTAATAAAACATGCTCCTTCAATATCTGCTATAATACCTTTATATGATATATATGTAAAAATATATATATATATAGTACATATTATATTGACTGGAACCGTGATATTGCATAAAGCAGATATTTCAAAGCATCAGATCATGACTGTTGAAGATATGAAAGGATTAGTCATTTAAGAGAATTGTGTCGCGATGTTTGTAGGTAACTTTAGTTTTGAATACAACTATGTTTAAACAATATTCTATCATAGTATTTAATTTTATGCATATTTTACATATATCTGTATATAATTTGACGTTTAAATAAAATCCAGAACCAAATTGTCATTCAACATATTTAATTGCGAGTTTTGACCATGAATTAAACTAAAAAAAAATTTTAACCAATTCCATCTAAACAAGGTAAATTGGGTGTTTTGTTGGCGGGATGTGGATAATTAAGAGCTATGTCACAACGGATGGTGATAAATAAACCCCAATTTAATACGCGTCATCGACCTACAACGATACTATTGACTTTTTCATACTTATTAACCATTCTAATTAAAATATTACTAAAATTACTCTCGTAGTAATTGAAAAATCTATAAAATGTCTTATATACAATTAATAAAGATGATGAGGCAGACCCTGGCTAAAGCTGGGATATTGCCAGGAAGAAAAAGAAGACAATTAATAAAGATGATTCTGTATAAAATTCATATTATATACCATATAATCATTTTGTTGTATCTATTTATTCTATGTCAATTTCAACTCGACCTTCAAGCTTTATATTAAATAAAATAACTAATTCATTCGTTTCATATAATTTACAATACATTTATAAAACAACACAAACAGATTAACTGGAAAACAAAAAACGAAAACAGAATTTGATTACTTAGTAAATAAGAACACTCAACATATTTTATGTAAATATAAATAGAAAAAAACAGTGAAAGTGAAATATAAGGTAAGAAAAAAATACTATTTTTTATCACGCTCCGTTAACCTTGGACGATTCATACAATTAATGAGTGTATAATTCACTTAAATTTATTTTATTTAAACGCTATTTATTCTACACAAATACTTATTGCTTCTAAATACGAAAAAAACTACAAAATAATTGAGAATCCATTTTTTTGAAGTCGATAAAAATAAGAATAGTATAAAAATCTTCCGTTACAATAAGATATTCATGATGTACATTAAAAATAAACAATCATAAGAATTTAATACACTTCGGAGCTACGGGAAAGCTATAAAAACATAAGTGGCTGGGAACGAAAACTTCGCTATGACGTCACTGCAAAATATTTCCATGTAAATCAATTTACTGTAAACATAAGTATTAGCAATTATTTTTATACAGAAAATGTAATAAATAAAAATTTATATGACAATAGGAATGCATCTTTAAATTGAACAAAAAATGTTACAGGAACGAATTGGTTTTACTAATTTCTGGTATTATAAAAAGACATCTCGTCTGCCCGTGATCACGGTTGCTGAAAAGTAACCGAAACGTCGGGAGTATGTAGTTTTTTACAATAATAAATTCGCGTAGTATAATCAAAAAAATATTAGTTTCATTTAAATAAATAAAACTTCCGAAAATCACAGATCTTATTATATAAAGAGATTTTCATTGATCATAACGAAAATAAACTAAAGTAAATAAATAAGAATTTAAGTATAAATCAGAGAAAAACTAAAACTATTAAATCAGTCAACAGTTTATACTAAGCAACATTAAAATATTTCATACGCGTATTGTTTAATTTAATATCTGAACACTTAGAATTTAAACATACAAGATAATAAGAAATACGATATAAAAAAATTCCAACGATAATATATTACAAATATTTTAGTGAAGAGTTATTTTAAAACAATTGTACAATACATTCTAAGAATTAACGAATTCCTGTATAAAAGCTATGAAAAGTCAATATTATAAATACGTTTATCTGAGCGTCGAGCGAGAGCAGGCGAAACCGTAGGAAACGATTAGTTTAATTATGTAAGTAATCACGCATGGATAATGTCCTTCCATACGTTTTGGTAGTCGTCCAAATGTCAAATTCCCAAAGCTCACATATAAACGGCACCGATCACTACAAACAACGAGACGAAACAACATTTTTTCCAACAAAACTATTCGCAGACATTTGTTTAATTATACATTATATACTATTTTAATCCTCAGTATCTATAGAATTAAAATTAGCTTCTTTCATATGAAATTTCTATGAGATTTCTATGAGATTTCATACGTATATATATAAAAGAATTCAATTCTAAGTACATCATATAGAGCAAACTACGATTAAAATTCTGAAACCTGATAAATGAAAGCCGCGGTCAATACATTTAATGTGGTCTCAGATGTATGGAGATTTAGATCTTATTATGTATTAGATAAGGACCGGTATCCTTTGTGGTTACAGATCGCGGAAGACGGTGGCTGTAACCAAATATAGATTATGCACGGGAAGTTCGAAGTTGTGAAATACTCGAGAATTTTAAGGAAAATGTGATATATATAAGATTTATATATTTTTGTATGAAGGAAATTAATAAAAAACTCAATTTCTATAATAATAAGTTTCATATTTCATTATCAACTACATATACATATTATTACGTCTTTTATTCTATCTATGGACAGATATTTTGTAATAGTGTTTTCGTTCAAATCTAAAAGATTTATAGAGCAAAAATTATGTTGTATATAGGTAAAATTAATCCAAAAGTACTCTGGTAATACATAACAATTGTGCACAAATTGTATATATCGTGGGAATAAAATAAAAGAGGTACAAGTAAACCAAGCTCTGAGGTCAAAGTGGTTGTATATAAAGAATTTGTTAGGAAACTAAATTGCTTTCCGAGCGGTCTACTACGCTTAATGAAACACCGGTGGTTAAATAAAGCAGACATTGTTCCAATATGGACTGCTCTCTGTAAACGGATTGACGAGAGATATGGAGATTAAAAGTCCATATATACACCAATAAAAATTATGTACCTATACCTATATATCTTACTATAATAATAAATGATTGTGGGTATGCATGTTTGTTAGTCTTCCATGCGAAAACTACTGAACGGATTTTTGATGAAATTTTATAGGTAGCTTAGACATTAGATTAAAATATAGGTTCTTAATTAATCCTTTTATTTCGTTCAATTCCCGCGGTATCTTGTACGTAGTATGAAGCCACAGAGATAATTGTACGTATAGTTTTATGTATATGTAGACATTTAATTCAGATATATACAAATAGTATATTTAACTATTAAAATTCTGACCACAATATTAGAGTTCATATATACTTCTAATAATACCATAAAGCCAGAC